ACACATGAATGCGCTGGTTGGCAACTGAGGAAACCGACTATAAGTATCAAATACTCAACCCTTTTCTTTTTAATGTTTGAAGGCGGAAGGCGGTGGGGGGGGGGGTGGCGGGGAGGGGAGGGGCAGAGAGGGAGACAGAGATTCCCAAGCAGGCTCCATGCTCCATGCAGAGCTCGACGTGGGGCTCGATCCCACAAACCGTGAAATCACGACCTGAGCCAGAGTCGGACTTGAACCAACCGGGCCACCCAGGCGCCCCTACCAGCCATATTTAGAAGCCAGAACCAAACAAAACCGCCAGAAAAACCTCAGAATAAATGGCTGTCCAAAACAAGCCAGCTGGCGGCCTTACGATGCACACACACGGACCACACCGCACTGAGAATTTTCCCGCGAGGGGGAGGGTGGGTGTCCCGCCGAGGGGGCAAATCCCTGCTGTGGCGGCACCAGAGGTTAAATGGCAGCGGGCACGGCCTCCCTGGAACGGAGAAGAGCGAGCCAAGTGAGACTGTCTGTGCCCCGGGAGAAGCTGGCCCGCTTTCCTCCTGTCCGTGCCTGAGTAGGTAACGTTCCTGTCCTCCGATACTTTCCTTCCCAAACTCGTACCTTCCCAGGGCACTGGGCTACCGGCAAGCCCCAGGCTCTGCCATCTCTCAGGGACAGGAGCGGTGACAGTTTCCTCGGCCGCCCGACGAGAACCGCTCACGGCTTCCTCACGGAACACCGACAGACACGACCCAATACGTGCATTGTATCCAGTCAATAACTGCTGGCATCGTGACACGAAGTACAGCTGGTCAGGCTGAGAGATTCAGAGGCTACACTCTCTGACTAGAAACTCCAAGTATCCGATCTTGCCACGTTTAGATCGGGAAAATTTGACTTAAATAAGCCTTGGAAATAAACCTGTGACAGCGGTGTAAAACGCTGCATGGAATAAAATCTGATCCCTGAACGGGATGCTCGCCGTCCGACTTTCTAAGAAAAGGATGCTTAAGGAAAACAGTTTCTGTAAGATTAAAACTAGTTTCTTCTCTATAGAAAACAGATGAAAGAATTCATTTGGCCTTGATGCAGTTCACTGCAGAAATTCCTTCACCAAAACGGATCACTGTTCGAATTTTTGTGTTCACGAACGGGCACACGTTCTCAAGGTCAACACCTCCCCTGGGTCAAAACATCCATTCACATTCAAAGGATCACACGGCCTCGGATTTGGGGTTTCTGGTGGGAGAATCGGAGAATTGGGCTTCTTTCCCCTACCCTACCCTCACCTAAACCACCACCTGGTTTCCTAGTGAGCAGCAGGTACGCGAACTCTCCCGGCTCGGACTCATCCAGGTCACGTAACCGTCAGGAACACCAAGAGGGAAGGGCCTGGCCTCCATCCACGCAGGGTCCCCACCCTGCTGGCTGCAGGTCCCAGTGCCGGGTGCAGCCGGGCCCCCTTCCTTCCCGGCCATCCTCCTCCAGCGACCGACCCCTCCAGGTGGCCCTGCTCTTGACCTTCTCCACCTGGTATGAGGACTTTAGAAAGGCTCAAGAGGGAATTCACAAATACAACAGAACCACAGAGTCCTGCTTACTCACATGATTTCCAGACTCACCTTCTTTTCCTCTGGTTTGAGTCAGAAGATTATTAATCGTAACGAGGCCGCTTGCATGGTTTCAAGTTGCTGGGAGTTTCTCTTCCTCCCATCACTCATTCCTTCTGTCTCCTGGAATCTTGCACGGAAACATTACCATACAAGGAAACAATCGCGTGCGTCCCAGAGCCTGAGCCGCGCTTTTTCCTGTAGATGGTCACTTTCAAACCCCGCCGCCCCCTCTCGAAACTCCCTCCTTGGAGCTGTGTCTGTGAAGTATTGCTCCCTGAGGCTTCCCAAATATGCCACACACCTGCCGTTTCAGACACCCGTGTTCCCCTGACGCCGGAGAGGGCAGATTCTCGACTTGCTTCCTTGGGCGTATTCAGCTGCCAGTCTGCCAGGAAACAGATTCACCCAATGTGAAGCGGGGCACGGACCCGACAGGCGTGGGAAGGATCAGTAACACACCGTGCACCCGACTGCCTGTCCGGCAAACTAAGAATCGCCTGGACGGACGTTCGGTGACAGGGTGCCGGCAGCTTGGGCAGCTCATAGGACATGTGCATGGTAAATGATCTCAGGAACTCAGCACTTGCCAACTCAGCTAGAGGGTTCCAGAAAAATGAGCGGTCTGGCATCACAGAAATACCTCCAAGACCTAAGGACAAAGATCACAGCCAAAATTCCACTACGCAAATAAGTCTGGTGACCTGGGGGCCGGGTAAAGGGATGCCCTGAAAACTCACAGAAGCTCGCCCACTGATTTCTCCCAGATGAGGGGGGGGGCAGCCAAGGTCAGGTGCGGCACCATGACGCTGAGCGCCAGGCAGAGGCTGAAGAAGGGGGTGCTGCACGCTCCCAGCCTGCCTGGTGGGGGAGGCGAGGGCCGAGGACGGGAGACGCGCCCGGCAATGACCAACTGTACTGGCTGAGTAATGAGCTCTAGTTTTTGAAAAATACAGTTTTCCTCTTCACCTTGTCGACCTGCCTCAAAAGTCCTAGGATCACAGAGTATCTTCTAAGATTGGCCACCCCACGTTAAATACCTAGGAGGACGTGATTATTACTATTTTATTCATTTTTCTCTTATGAAATTAGTTGGAGTATTAACTGGTTTGTAGTTTTTGCCTCCTCAAGGATTTCAAAGAACTGCTGAGTCGTCAACTTTACTCATTTGCTTGGTTTTGTGCTGCCTTTGGAAGCCCACTCTTCTCCCTTAGGAGATCCTGTCAGCCGAGAGGGCGCCCTTGCTGTCCTGGGGACCCGGCCACCGCTCTCCATCACGCCCCGAAGCAGGACCAGCCACACCTCGGCCAGCCCACTGCAGGGGCTAAATACAGTTGAGAACCGAAGAGGTGACACCTGCAGCCTTTTCCTTATCTTGAATGATTATCCACACCGGGTTGCTTTCATTGTCGTCGCTGCTCAACAGTGCAGGTGGCTTCTGTACGCACTGCCATGGACGTGAGTGGAATCCCAGCGTGGCCCCGGGGCACCTGGAGACCCCCAGGGCACCTGCTGCTGTTCCTCAGCGCGGCACCGGGCAGCAGCAGGAAGGCTCACGAGGAAGAACTGGCTGCTGCATTTGTCGGCTTACCCTGGGTTCAAGTTCTTTACCCCAAAACATGCTGTTACTGCCACTGCTTAAAAGAAAACGCTGCTGTTTGTGTAGAACTGCAGTTGTACACTTAGAGAAGTTGTACAATTTCAGGTGTGGTTTGTGCACCGCAAAGTTTAGGGGGCCAAGTGTATGACCAGAACTTAGCATCAGGGAACAAGCACCCCAGAGATTCGGCTACATCAGACGAGGCCACACCCTCCTCCGATCTCTGCTCTGATCGCCCTCCAGGCCCCACGGACCCCTCATCACCTTCCTGTTCTCCACAGCCCGGCCCTCGGCACCCGCTTCACATGCCACCCGCGTACTTCCTGCCTCCTCTGTCCCAGTGGAACTCGCTCACGTTTACGATCCTGGGCTGTTAACGCGAGAGTGAAGGAACACAAGGCTTCTTTGTAATGATCTGTACAGAAAGTGGCCCACGTTCCCAGATCCACGCACAAGGTTCAAGGGAGCCTGTCCTGCTTCCGCAACCCTGAGGAGCCCCTGGCAGCCGAGTCACCAAAACCAAAGCTCACCCACGCAGGCACCGCAGGGACTCGAGCCGAAGGTCTTTCAACCTGGGCCCATCAGAGGGACGGACATTTCTACACGGCACTTCAATGCAATGCTCTCATCGGAGCTCGAGACCACTCTGCCCCGGACGAGCGGGTTTCACTATCCTGTTCCGCGGAAACACAGAGGCTCCGAATGTTCTCCGAGAAACAGAGCTTCAGCACTAAGCGCCCGGTGCACGATGCTGTCTGCCGAGAGCAGAGCCCGGCCCTGGGTGGCAGGTGTGGATGCCAAAGAAATTACTAAACTACTTAAAAGACAAATATTTTAATCTAGTTTCCCCACTTTATACTAAATCATTGCTACAGGTCACAGATTGGATTTGCAGACACCTAGAAAACAATCGGAAGTGTATACATCTTTCTCTATAGATCTCATTAATAAATTTTATTTGGACAAGAGAACTTGTGCCACAACAGGTTAAACAGCATGATTAAAGACGGCAGCACTCCCCAGAGTGGTTACAGGCCTGTGCAGCGCGTGAAGGAAAGCCGCACCTCACAGCCGGTCGTGATCAAGGTAAAAACACCTGACACGCAGCACACGTGCCAATAAACTCCTTCAGGTCATGACCAGCATGAAGAAAATCAGGACACAGATACTTGGCCAACGTTCTGTAAATGTGCACAGCAATATGCTGCATTTAAGAGTTAAAATCGGATTCTACTTTAGTGTTAGCATCAAGCCCTTAGGAGAAACCCCCAAAAAATCTCCTTTCCCATTTACACACGTCAGAAACTATTCACACTTAGGGCGGACTGGGCAGAGGGCCACAGAACCGACAGGTCCTTGCCTGCGTGGAAACAGGGCTAATACTGAAGGTCTCTTTCGCATCCCGGCTCACAGCCGCCTTCTGGCTGCCACTCCACCTATTTAAATAAAACCAGGAGAAAGCAATGCAGGTCTCTGGGAATCTCCTCCCTTCCATAAGGAAAATGCTCTGCCAATTCAAGTTTCATTCAGTCAGGAAGACGGAAGGATTTAAGGCTTCGGTGACAATTATAATCCTCTGAGAAATTATTTTCCCTTAAAGTCAAGATAAGATAATAGTGTTTACTGTACTTTCTCTTGACTCTTAAAATCCCTGGTATCAGTGTAGGCAACTTGCACCTGCAATTAAGTCTGCAAGAGAGGGAGGTCTCTCCTCCTCCCAGAGGCTGTCCCAGATCACACACGTGCGGAGCGCCTGTCAGCCTGTGGATCCCTAGGAAGCAGGAGGACACCAAGGTTCAAGCTTTCTAGTAGGTTGAGGAAGCGGTGCTCATGGCATCTTCAGAGATTTTGGTGCTGGCGGGATGGATGCTTGCGAAATACTTGACGTCACTGTCACGATCCATCTGAAGAGCCATGATGGTTTGTTCTACGGCCTCCTGATGACAGCTGGCAGAGGTTAAGAAATATTCTGGAAATGCAAAGGGCAGATTACAAATGAAATCGGTTTTATGGACATGTCAGTTTTATCAAGTATAAGTACACTAAGTTCTCCGTCATAACCCTAACTTCTCCAAGTATAAACACAAGCCATGCTGAATTATACGCAGTAATCCAAACTGATTTGTGTGATATGAAAAGACTCCCCAAACGTAAGAGAGTTAGAAGGTTCATCTTGACTGTTTTTAGAATGGACTAAAAGGCTGAGTGGTGCTAAGCTAATATATTAAAACTTACACTTGTGACAGCTATTCATTCGCTCAGGAAAAACACCTCAAATACCAATCATACATGCAGACTGAAAGCCAGTCTTCTCTAGCCATTTCCCTATAATTGCTCCTAAAACAATTTAACTGGGTTCTAAAGGAGAAAAAAGAAACACTATTCATTTACCCATATTCTTATAAACCTATTACAAACCTCTTTCTGTGCTTCATTCATGAGTTCATGCATTTAAATGATATTTATTAGGTATTTTAGGAGGATTACAATAAAACAAGTGAAATCCTGAGCAGCTTACTAGGATTTGCAGCAAAGCAAATGCTAGGGGCATTTGTCTTTCGTCTAATGAAGAGGAGGGGGAAACACAAACATGCCTCCTAGCTCCAAACACAGTAACAGATGTCAATTGGGGCCGACTAAAGGCGGTAATTTTTCATGTCTTAAGTGACTATCCAATTTTTCAAACAGTAAGTTTGCAATTATCAAATAAATGCAACTAGAGCAGAAAGGTGAAAAGTCCCTGTCCTCTAATCTATGTCCTTTCTAGGGGGAACCTCCATTAACAACTTACAAATATATTCTTTTATTAGACTCTGCCTATGAACATACAATATTCCTGCTTAGCAACTTATCTATCCATGTAGTCTACGAACCTCCTCCCTGCCACGTACGGTTTTCCTAACACAGTCACCTACCCACCCACCTTTCTCTAGGAGGGTCTGTCTTAATGTCTTTGCAAGTAGCACTCGAACGTTTGGAACCCTATCATTTGCCAAGGTTAGCAAATGTGGCATCAGATGCACAGCGAACTGGTCCATGGGAAGGCAATCATCCTCAATGACAGTCTAGGGAAGAGAAACAGCTGCTTTAGATTTGCCAAGTTAGTCTATCAAACCATAATACCAGCTAGCGTTATCTTTTAGTGACAGCTTAAGTGCTACAGATTTTAGTTAGTTCCTTTCAAACCAATATTCCAGGCACCTGGGAACTCAAAACAAAAATGACAAAATTTTAAGCCCCTGCAGACACACAGCTTTTAAGTGGCTCCACGCAGACCTGGAGTGTGCAGTCACATTCATTTGCACACATGTGCCATGGGCCGTGGACCCCGAGCACCCTCTAGTGGATGGCTGTGGGATGGGCAAGGCAGACACCCAACTCCAAGGAACAGGTGATCCTGTGAAAAGCCACCTGGCAAAACTCTGTTCCGCAGGGATAAGAAACAAGGTGTTGAGAGGCCAAGAGTGAAAGAAGAAACATAGCTTTAGATAGAGAAAGGGGTCACAAATGGGTAAGTCTTCACTTACCTGGCAGACAAAGACAAAGGCTTGCCGACCAGACCACTTGGGACATCTACCGAAGTTTTCTACAAGCTCATTGATGAGGTCCACTCCAAACGTGGGTGGCGTGGCCACGTGCAGCTTCTTCACCATCTCACTGACCTAAGAGGGTGAACACACACAAGTGAGGAATGTCTTCTGTTCTAAGATCTTATTAAATAGTTAGCTGTTCTAAAATTATAAAAATTTTAACACATACCAACTTGTAGGAAATCCAACGAACAGAAGAAACTTTATCTGCACATAGATTCAGAGCAATGGGACGTAAATAGTCATAAACATCTCTGGGACTATATAATTCTAGAAGTAAAATCAGCTGTCTATAAAAATGAATTATAAAAATAAAAATATAATTACAATTTTAAAATAAATAAATGAAAACAGGTTAATCATGTAAATCATCTGTCCCACTGGACACTTGTCTGTAAGACAAGTGCATGCAAAGACTCGATTTTTTTTTTTTAATTTTTTTTTTTCAACATTTATTTATTTTTGGGACAGAGAGAGACAGAGCATGAACGGGGGAGGGGCAGAGAGAGAGGGAGACACAGAATCGGAAACAGGCTCCAGGCTCTGAGCCATCAGCCCAGAGCCCGACCCGGGGCTCGAACTCACGGAGCGCGAGATCGTGACCTGGCTGAAGTCGGACGCTTAACCGACTGCGCCACCCAGGCGCCCCAGCAAAGACTCATGATTAGTGTGGTCTCTCATGCATAGAGTTATTTCCAGTCTCCGTGTATCTGGAAATGCATCTAAACGCTATGAGAGTTCAAGAAGTAGCTCTTGCCTTCTGAATGTAAGGGAGACAACTGCGGCATTCTGTGTCCGCAGGGACTGACACAGAGCAAAGCATTTCCTAGTAGGTTCAAATGGGACACGGAACATGTTTTTTCCACAGGTATTGTCCAGATACTGAGATACTTCCACCTATAAATCAGTTTTCTAAATAAGAAGTTCTGGCGGTATCAGGTAGCCTGGTGTGGAACTGCCAAGGCTCTGAGCAGCTTTGAAGGGAATGGCAGGCCTACGAGGGATAAGAAGTGAAGAGGTCCTCTACCTTTAGCGAGTGTTCCTATTATGTCTCGCGAGACCTGAAGACTGACAGTGTCCATGATGCTACTCTGAGTGGACGCAACAATGCCCTTCAAGAAATACCTCAGATACGAATGAGACTTTTGCCTTTCAGGTTTTATGGTTAAGATTATTTACATTTGTAGTCGGCAGGGAATAAGCTAGAGGCATGAATATACATAACGCAGCGATGACCAATGTACCTGTGTATACATACAAACATAAATCCTTAGAGACGGGCACACTTATCAACTCTTATTTTGTGACACTGCAATCTTTCTTGTTGGCCTCCCTTCCCTGGGCGCACACCACATGAGCCAGTCTGGCACCAGGTAAGCAAAGTGGAGAGGCCCCTTAGCAGGCAGGAAATGATTGACACATGTTGGGGGACAGGCATCAAACCCCGCGCACTCCCCTCCTGGGTCCTTCTCTTTACCCAGCTCGAGCCTTAAGGCGCTGACGGAGGGGCAGCAGAGCCTGTCCACGCCTGGGTGCAGGCAGACACTGCAGCTGGGGGCAGAGGAGAAGAGCAAACTCTATTCCAGGGAAAGGGGTAGAGAACCTTCCAAGCTGAGACCCTGCACTGATAACAGGCACAAGTCTCCTTCTGCTGAGGAGGGGCAGGAGCCTCTGCCCAACACTGACCATAGATACAAGGCAGAAACTGGATGTTACAGGGAGAGGGCAGAATTCTGAGAAAGCCCAGGCACACAGGGCCTCCCCAAATAACCAAGATTCTCCCCTTTTCCAGCACGAGCCAACCATGTCCTCACAGCAGCCTACAGCCAGGGGAAGGGAAGAGACCCACCCGTTTTGCAGGGGTGCACGAGAGCTGAGGGAGGAATGCTAACACGTGAAAAGGCCCCCTGGCACCCCAGTCCCCACCCTCAGCAGAAGGCACTGGCAGGCCCCGGCGAGAAGAATCAAAGCGTATCCTGCACCGAAGACAATCACAGCAACAACAAGCCCAAACCCAGCTTGCTCCTGAGTAGATGGACCCAACCCTCCACACTAAGGGCAGAAGAGGTGTGCCTATTTACAGTCCAAACCTGGCAAGCCAGAACTCAGTGGACTGACACCTTTAAGGTATGAAGAAAACAACAAACAACAACCCAACCTGGCAGTCCCGATTCTATATCCAGCAAAGATATCTTTTAAAAATGCAGGGGCGCCTGGGTGGCGCAGTCGGTTAAGCGTCCGACTTCAGCCAGGTCACAATCTCGCGGTCCGTGAGTTCAAGCCCCGCGTCAGGCTCTGGGCTGATGGCTCGGAGCCTGGAGCCTGTTTCCGATTCTGTGTCTCCCTCTCTCTCTGCCCCTCCCCCGTTCATGCTCTGTCTCTCTCTGTCCCAAAAATAAATAAAAACGTTGAAAAAAAAATTTAAAAAAAAAAAAAAATGCAAGTGAAGTCTGGAATCCGGAACATATACAGAACTCCTACAACTTAACCCAACTTAAGATAAACCCAATTAAAAAATGGGCAACGGATCTGAATAGACATTTCTTTAGATTATATACGAATGGTCAACAAGCATATGAAAAGGTGTTAAACACCACCGGTTATTAAGGAAATACAAATTAAGATGACCATAAAACACTGCTTCACACCCACTATAATAATGTCTATAATCTTTTTTTTTTTTTTTTTTAAATTTTTTTTTCAACGTTTATTTATTTTTGGGACAGAGAGAGACAGAGCATGAACGGGGGAGGGGCAGAGAGAGGGAGACACAGAATCGGAAACAGGCTCCAGGCTCTGAGCCATCAGCCCAGAGCCCGACGCGGGGCTCGAACTCACGGACCGCGAGATCGTGACCTGGCTGAAGTCGGACGCCCAACCGACTGCGCCACCCAGGCGCCCCTCTATAATCTTTTTAAAAAAGGCAAATACCAAGTGTTGGGGAGGATGTGGTAAAACTAAACCCTTGTACATTACTCATAGGAATGTAAAATGGTACAGCTGTTGTGGCAAACAGTTTGGTGGCTCCTCAGCAAACGAAACGGAATTATCAAATAACCCAGCAAATCCACCACAAAATAACTGAAGATAGATAGGTGTTCACAGAAAAACTTGTATTTGAATATTACGGGCAGTACCAGTCACTTCAGCCAAAAAAGTAGAAACAACCCAAACGTGTATCAATTGAATGGATTTTAAAAAGTGGTACACAATGCAGTATTATTCAGTCACAAAAAGTAATAACGTTCTGACACCTGCTACAACATGAATGAATCTCGAAAATATTATGCTAAGTGGAGAAATCAGACACAAAAGGCCACATGTGATAAAACTCCACTTATATGAAATGTCCAGAACAGGCAAATCCATACATAATAGGTTAACAGCTGCTAGAAGTCGAGGGCAGAGAGGGATGCGGAATGACTGGGAAAGGGTATGGTGTTCCTTTTGGGAAGATGGAATGTTCCAGAACCAGAGAGTGGTAATGGTTGCATAACAATGAACCTACTACATTTCACCAATGGCAAATTTGGTTATGTGTATGTTATCACAATAATAATAATAATAATAATAATAATAATAATAATAAATGGTGAAACAGGCTTAAAAAAAAAAGCTGAGAAAATTCACTGCTGTCAACACTTGCATTTCAAGACATATTAAAAGGAATAGAACATCAGACAGACATTTGTATCTACACAAAGTAATGAACAAATCTAGAAAAGGTAAATAGGAAGTAAGTAAACATCCCTCCAAAATATAGTCCAATAAATTGTTAGAACTTACTCAGCCAATTCAGCTCGAAAGCGCCAATTTCTACTATTATCTGTCACCAAAAACTCCTGAAGTTGATAAAGATATTCTCTTCTTTTGTCAATATGAAGAAGCTGAAGTGACAAAATGAAAATATGCACTAAAACAATATATGGGCATTACTACTTTTATCACACTGCTTGAAAACGACTACAATAAACAATATAGTTAATTCTTCTGAAGGAAAACAGATATAGTAGGTACATCTAATTGTTCTAAAACCTGTTAAGTTCATTTCTCCCTGATAATCCCATTTACCACCAAGAGTCTTACCCTCTTTTGAAATACTTGTTCTCTGGGCCATGTGTGACCACCTCTGAACCCTACAGCACCTTGCGCACAGCTTTATGGTAGCAATGACCCACTTTATTCACTGGACACCCTTGTTACTGTGAACTCTTTGAAGACAATAACGTGCTCCTCCTCAGATATATGAGCCTAGTGGATGGCACCGTGATGGCACATGGTAGGTAATCTATATTTGTTGAGCGAAAAGAGTGAATTTATCCCAGTAACTGCTCTACAGGTATGGTCAAGTAGGTTTATAGTCAGCAAGGGGGAAAACCATAAATGTGATACCAACAGAAGCAAACTTAACTGTACATCAAACAGGTAAGAATCACATAGAAAGAAGTACTCTGACTATACATGTTTGTGGGTTATGCTGTAAGGACAAAGTGCTGAAGGAAATCTTGAATGTTACTGAATTGAGTTGATGTCAGAATTATTATTGGTGCAGTAATTCTGAAACTACTTCATGTATGTTGTAGAACTGAGCAAACGACTTAATATATTCATGTTAAGAACAGTTTTTTACCATGAGAGGAAAGAAAAAACACGAAGTGGAAAAAGGAGAGGAAATCGTATGGGACTGGAAGCTGAATGATCGAGATGAACTCAATAATTTAAACACAACAAACCAAAAAAAGCCCCCCACCTCCCCCCCAGCTCGTCTGTCCCCTGAAAAGTAAAGGAAATGACACTATGGGAGCAGTGTGCATATCCAGTGCCTGGGTCTTGGCTTCTAAATACCACTCTCCACTCTCTAAATACCAGGCTCCTTGGAGAAAGAGCTGACTCGGGGCTAGGGGAGAGGAAGTCCTCAGAGGTGGGCCTGGAAATAAGGATGTGCTTAAACGTGAGGGCACAGATCAAAAGGGGCACAGAAGTCAGCTTTCAGGGGTTCCTGGTAGCCAAGCTGATGTTCACAACCAAGGACAAAAATGGATTACACTAAACAGGAAAAGAATTCTGAGAAAAAAAGAGAGAGAAAGAGAGAGAGAGAGAGAGAGAGAGAGAGAGAGAGAGAGAAGGCAAGGAATGTAAAGAAAAAAATATCTAAAAAAAATAAAGTTAAAAAAAAATCTGGAGTTCACACACTAAAAAACCTTCCAAAAACAGGGAGGGAGAGAAGGGAAAGATTAGCTTTACATGAGAATGCCAACTGATAATGGAGAAATTATAAAAATAGAAAATCAGATTATTACAACCAACACAGTAACCACTGATTTAGGCAAGGACCATGTATAGATGCACAGATGCAAAAGCCCTGTGTGAGAGACACGGGGGAAAAAGACTCACCCCACCAAGTAATTATTATTATTTTTAAAATTATTTTTATTTACTTTATTATCTTTTTGAGAGAACAAACAAGCATGTGAGCGAGGGACAGAGAGAGGGGGAGAGAGAAGCAAGGCTTACCTAAAGCAGGGCTTGTGTTTTACCCGACACAGGGCTCAAACTCACCCAGCGTGGGGCTCGAATTCACAAACCGTGAGATCGTGACCTGAGCCGAAGTCAGATGCTTACCCGACTGAGCCACCCAGGTGCCCCCCCACCAAGTAATTATTAATCACAAAGCTGAAAGGTTGTTACAACAGAGGAAACGTGCTGACATAATCAAGTGACCAGAGTCAGCATCACCAGTGATGATGTTCCTCCCAATAGGATACACAGGCAATGTGCCTGCAAAAAAACCTGTGTGACCTGAGTCTCACGGTGTATCAATACTCAGACAAATTCAAATTGAGAGCATTCTGGAAAACAACAGGTGGGCCTCTTCAAAAATGCCAATGATAATAAAGACAAAAGTCAGGGAAACCATCCTAGATTGAAGAGGGCTAAAGAGATACAACATTTAAATTCAATATGCAGGGGCACCTGGGTGGCTCAGTCAGGTACATGTCCAACTCTTGATTTTGACTCAGGCCATGATCTAATGGTTTGTGAGACTGAGCCCTGCATCTGGCTCTGCGCTGACAGTGCAAAGCCTGCTTGAGATTCTCTCTTCCCCCCTCTCTCTGCCCCCACCCCCCGCTCTTGCTCACCTGTTCTCTCAAAATAAACAAACATTTTTTAAAAAAAAGTAAATTCAACATGCAATTCCTGATTAGACTCTGATATTTAGCGGGGAAAGCTATAAAGGACATTACTGGGACAAGAGAAATTTCAGTGTGATCTGTATAAAATGTAACACCACGGTATCAAAATTTTTTTAAAAGCAGGATTACAGTACTTCTGTACCTCAAAACCTCAAATTACAAGAGCCCATTTCAAGGTTAAAGTCTAAAAAACAACAGTATTCCAGGACTAACAATTTTTAAGATGATAGCTGTTCATCTGCAAGGCCAGAGATCCACACCAAAGGACTGAAGACTACCGGGAAATTTTTGGACTCCTAAAATATCACAAAGCCTCCAAACTTAATGTTCATGGAATTTCTGTATGTACTTTCAATAACTGTATGTGTGTACTGTATTACTGAATTGTATGTAATTCAATAATTTGGGGGGGGGGAAGTACAAGTGTTTGTAGTCATGATATAACACCGTTTAGAAATGAGATCTGGTGTAAATATTCTAAATTAAAAATTAAAAGAACACCAGCAAAAGTGATGAGAACAGGACTATTTCTTTTTTTAAGTCATTACATCTATCAATTCATGGCTACATTTTCTGACGCATGAACATACAGAGACTTCATCTTGGTGGGAATAGAAAATCAAAACTTTCAGTCCACAGTGGAACTTCAGTGTGTTTTTATGCAGAATAATTTAAAAGTTACCTTCAGAAAATCATGCAAATGTTTAAGGACACCTATCCTGACTTCGTCGAGGTCTTTCAAAAATCCATTGAAGATCGGAACCAGATCTGCAGCCGTCAGCTGATCTCCGAGAATAACTGCCAGCTCATGGATGGAGAAGGCTAATGTCCTACGAACCTTCCACTGCAGAGACAGAGAGGACCACGTTCACAAGCGAAGCACACAGTACTGAGTGCTTTCACTCTCAGTACATGAAGGCTAACTTAACATCGGAACGTTACCAATCTCTAACAACTAAAGCAGAACTGAAGTAATGGAAGTAATAGAAGTAATAGATCCTCAGTTTGAAATGTATGCTATGTACCAAAAACTGGCTGAGAAAATTTCAAAGCCCTGCACAGTACGTATTCTCTCCTTCCATTTACGAAGGGAAAAATGATTGGAAATCACTAATGGCATAATCTCTGTAGTTCTCTGAACCCCTGATGCCCGATTTACGGATGTGTCCCATATCCATCATCCTCGCTTGACTGTTCCCCTTCTGATTCCTGTACAGCCTATCTTGGATTAAAAATTAGTAATGAAACTGGTTGTTAAGGAAGTGACAACTAAGGAAATGTAAGAATAGGAAAACGTAGGGAAATTTACATTAAAAACATGTTTTTCTTCACATTGTTTTAATTGTAAAATGTTTACTTTGTTACTTACCTTAAAACACTCTGCTTGAGGAGAAGCTATTTACAGCAAGCTCTCTAGACCCCGTTCTTGAAATAAAATTTTGCACCCACATTCAACACATCAAGCAGATGAAGGCAGAGGTGTTCGGATGGAGCGGAGGGGACAGAGAAGGCATGAAGCCCTAGCCATCTAGGGCCTTCCTAGTCACCAGGAACCCTGAAAGGTCTGTGGACTGATGATGGAAAACCACCAGCACTCTGGAAATTGGGCCTTTGTGGCCCCTGCCCAGTTCTACTAGTGAAGAAGTGTGTGAACACAGGATAAATTCACTTCACCTGGACCCTGGCTTCCTAAACTCATAGGTCAGTGGAAGAAATGAAACTATGTTCTCTCAAGATTACTTTCATCTCCTACCTTGCTTAATCAACAGCATGATTCCTTGAAAAATGCATTAATTACTAACACATTTAAGAGAAACTCATTCATATCGCAGCATAAATCAGTCTAACCAGACTGCTTTCTTAATAACCGAGAGATTAAATTCCACTGAAGGAACAGATTTTGTGCAAGAGGGGCAAAATTTTGGTGTACAATACAGAAACCAGACCTAATGGCAGGGGAAGTTAAGTCAACAAAATCTGGGAAAAGAGCCACAAAAAATACACAGATATCCAGACAAGATGACCCGGGTCAACACTTCACATTTCGTTTTCTTTCAGAGAGGGCGGTGGTGGTAGCGTGTGGGTCTGGACAAAGTGTGCACAAGTGCATGCACAAGCACGCAGCACACACGGAACTTCTCCCACCTTTATTAATGCAACACTCCCTGACCCAGGGCCAGAGCTCAGAAGTGCTAACACTACTCATACAGCTCTATTAAGGTCTTTAAAAAAAATCAAAGCAGCCATTTACAACACTATGTCTGGAATGAATCTATACATCAACTTCAGACAGTAACACACTTGTAAGTTAGGAACTTCGGCACGTAACTGTGATGATAATTTCCAAACGGTGGAACGTGGACCGTACAAAAAGAAACCTCTTTGGTATTACTTCTGAGCTCAGGCCCAATATCCCATAACACCAAGTATTTGCTGTAACATGGACAGAAATTCTAGTAGGTCTTGACGGGAAAATCACCACGCCTTCCATCCACGCACATTGTGCTTATTCCTCAGCTGCCCTGCTCACCTGCATGTCTGACGCCAGTGTCTCATAGGTCTCTCTCAGGCAGTGCCAGTTCTGCCTGCCGAGCGTCAGGGCCACGCCAGGAAGGCTGTATGCACAGTGCTTAGCAATCTCTGTGTCGACCGTCTGGGCACGAGAGGGGTCCGTCATAGATAAATACTGATCTAACAGAGCCTGAGGCACAACATCCTAATGAGGAGAGAGACACCACAGTGATTCATTTTAGCAGTGTAGACATAAATCAGGCAAACATATTTTTAAATCTATTAAATTTTTTGTTTTGTTTGAGAGAGAGCGAGCGTGAGTACCGGGAGAGAGGCAGAGGGAAAGAGAGAGAAAGAGAGACAGAGAGACATCTTAAGATGAGAGAGAGAGAGAGAGAATCTTAAGCAAGCTCCACACTCGGTGCAGAGGTCGATGTAGGACTCTATCCCACGACCCTGAGATCATGACCTGAGCCAAAATCAAGAGTCGGATGCTCAACCAACTGAGCCACCCAGGTGCCCTAAATGTATGAATTTAACATAGCATCTCAACTAACAGAGAAAAACCCAGTCTCAAAGTTTTAGGTATCTACTAACTGAAAAAAGGTAAGAAAAACATGCTAAGGGAAATACACAAATAAACAAAAGCAAACCTAGAAGAAAAATGGTTAAGATCTTAAAACTGGTAACAGCCTAAAGGATGATTAGAACTGATCACTAAATTTAAAAGAAACATTAAAAGACCAGCACATCCCAAAGACTGTAATGTTTGCAAAGACTGTAAAGTTTGATGTAACCTAGTACATGTGAGAAAACAGGCATTCATGTGCATTATTACCAACATGCATTTTTATAAAAACACCACCAAAATTTCCAATTTTAGATGGGAATTGAGCAACTATCTATAAATATTTATTTTAAATTTTTTTAATGTTTATTTTTGAGAGAGAGACAGAGAGAGAGTGCAAGCAAGGGAGGGACAGACAGAGAGAGAGACACAGAATCTAAAGCAAGCTCCAGGCTCTCAGCTATTAGCACAGAGCCTGACACGGGGCTCGAACCCACAAACAGTGAGATCATGACCAGAGCCGAAGTGGGCTTAACCGACTGAGCCACCCAAGCACCCCATCTATAAAAATTTAAAGTGTATAAACATCTAATCATCTGTATAAATGTGAGGAAAAGAAGGACGTATACACAATCTTGCTCACGTATATGTAATGCAGCTCTGGAAGAATATACAAAAGAAATGCAAAACTGGTTGCTTTGGGGGCAGCCAAATGGATAGAAGAGAAAAGCTGAGAAGGAACTATCACTGACTGCCTTTGTACCTTTTGAATTTTGAACTACGTAAACTTACAAATCTTTTAAAAGTAAAATGGGGCATCTGGGTGGCTCAGTCGGTTAAGCGTGTGGTCTCGCAGTTTGTTGGTTCCAGCCCTGCATCGGGCTCTGTGCTGAAAGCTCGGAGCCTGGAACCTGCTTTGGATTCTGTGTCTCCCTCTCTCTGCCCCTCCCAAGCTCACACAAAATGTACTGTCTCAGTCTCTCTCTCTCAAAATTAAATAAACATAAAAAAAAAAAATTTAAGTAAATTAAAACAAATAAATTCATTAAAAGAATGAGACAGTCTGTTTTAACTTGAAAATATCTCTACAGGAGTGGTTAAAAGACTGTTTCACAACGCCGTGAACACCAATTTTATTTTCAATAAACAGAAAAAGAACGTACACCATCTGACCTAGGAAATCTACAGTCCCAGAAGCAAATGCCACACATAATCACAACGAGTGCAGCACTGCTTGTAAAATCACAGGACTAAACCCGGAGGCGAGTAAGGAACCACAAAAGGCGTAAAGTCTTTGCAAGACAGAGGCCACGCTGCATGGACACTGCGCTCCCGTGGCGGGTGGGGGTGATGGCAAGCACATGGAAAGATCAACACATGCACGCACGCACGCAAGGTACAAACTACCATATTCCAAATATTCCATCAACACATTTTCCCATGTTTAAAATTTCTGAAACTGGAGTGTAACTTGTCACTGATGGCACTTCATGTGGCTTTGGGACATTTTTTCATTACTGTCATCCCTGAAATCGAGCTGTATCTTGTAATTCTTGGCAAATTAGGCATCATGACATACCTAGGTACAACGGCATGATTCTGTCTCCGACAGACAAAAAGGGGTGTGCATGCATGTTTCTGTACCCATGAAACGTTTATGAAGAAATATACGAGGAGCTGTGATCCGTGGTTACTCCAAAGGATGTTATCACAGGTATGAGAAGAGGAAGATTTCTGCTTGTGTTTTACTCTATTTGAATTTTCTTATCGAAAGTATGATATACTAGGTCTTATTTTTAAAAAACTTACCGTAAGAAGGACCAAATTCAGTGGGAAATGGGTTTAGAACAGGAAGGGACAAGACCCACACCACATAAAGGCTTGTCACTCACCTGTACTTTAGATCTCCTCTCCTCATCAGGGCTAAAACTGCTGTTGGTGCTCAAGTCCGAGTCGTTATGAATATAGCGAAGGGCAGAGTCCATATTCTGTTAGGAAAAAACATTTACATAAACAACCATCCCTTCTTAAACCTTCACTTTACTTAAACCATCTTACTAAGTTACCTACCTTTCAAGACTGCCAGATGATATACATACATAAATTCTTCATGCTTTTAAAAGCTTGTAAACATACCTAAGACCTCTTAAGAACTTCCCCTAAGTCAAACTCGAATAGGTTGCTAAATGTATGAAAATGAATTCCAGAGTAAGCTCATTAAAATGTAAATTTAGAAATAGTTTTGAAATGGTTCAAATATCTAAAATTAGCTTATTCATTAGATAGTATTTAGAGGGGGCTTTCGGTCAACGTTTTAAAGGCCATGGGAGGTCATACGTAGCTTTTCTTCTACTGTTTCTCTTCCTGGCTATCTCTTATTTCACAAATACACTTTTTTATCAGCGCCAATAAAACCTCCAAAACACACAAAACACCTTCTAAAATGCAGAGGTATCACAGTATTCAAATCTCCAATGCTGAAAGGTGGCCAGGGTTTCATTCTGAAGCACTGGTATTATAAAAGATTTCTAACTCTACCAGATGTCACCTAACAAAAAACAAAACAGAAATCCACTGACACTCCAAGAACCCTCTCCATCCCCGGTGTGTATGTAGGCACTTTTCCTGAGCTTATCACTCAAGCTGCTCTGATCTGTGACCGTTGGAGTCTGGCAACCAGTGGTGTATTGCTTATCCTTTATTTATATAAACAAGGGATAAGAAATACTGATACCAAATGATGCTGGCTGGGGGTGGGGGGGGAATGCAGGAGGAGATCAGGGAAGGATCACACAGAACAGCTCCAAGTACACAGCGAAGATGATGCTAGTAACAGTACCCACCCTCACACTCCAGAGTCCAGATAATGCCACTGGCCCCTCCGCAACATGGCCTCAAGTCCCGATCTTCCGCTCAGAATACTGTGTTGCTTGCTGCAGTGAAATGGTCCGAGCAGAAACAAAGCACCTCTCCAAAAAGAAAAGGGAAGAGTTAATTATTCTTGATAAAGGGCTTTGTTTCCAGTAAGACTATTTCACTGCAGTGAGCTACGTTAACACATTGAGGCTACTCAAATGGTCGTGTAGACAGGATCGGGATTTACGTCTCCAAGCACTGAACATGACACTAACGTCACAAAGACAGGATGCGCTGACGACTACTTTTACTTTACGCCAGAGGGAGAGCTGAGGCAATCAGCCACAAACGGAACGTACTGACGCGAAAGTGACCCGGCTACAACTATTCCCCAACAGAAGACTTTTCGGACTGGAACTATTCTCACTGGATAAACGCTCGACTGAGTGCGTTACCTCAACGGCATCGCTGATTAAAGGCACGGAGGCGTCGTGAGTTGTTTTACAGTTTGGCAGCTCATTCGCACCCAGCGCGTCCTGCCCGTCACTCCTCTTCTCGGCGTCGCTGGCCTCCTCACGGGCGTCCAGGCTGGAAGCGCGCAGCGCGGCGGACAGCACGTCCACTTGCGCTGTGGGCGGAACAGGGAGAGGGCGTGTGAGCGGCAGAGCCGACAGTGCGCTTGCCAGTTTTTTCTCCGTTTGCATTACAGGTTATCAATGAAATGCACACTTTTGTGACACTGCCATCAGAAAGCTGAAAAAAAACTACTGTGGTAAATCATTAGTCCTTCAGGAGAAAAAGGAGAAAACTAATATGCTTTCATGAGATTAAAAATGTTTATCCACTACTGTACATTATTCTGCGTTAGTATGAAAGAGAGAAGCTATCTAGTTTTGGAGGTACCTCCAGTTTATTAAAAGGAGTCAATTTCAATGTAAGTTAACTATGTTTTGGTAGTGCAGGAATCGAACTGACAAGGCTTACTTACTAAGCTAGTTTAGCAGAAGAGCAGTCACACAAGCCCTGCCAACATAAAACAACGGTAATTACAAAGATTTTTGTTGCAATTACATTTCAACATCTCATATCTTATCCCAGTTTATTTTATTTTCCCCTACTTCCTGTTGAACATGCAATTAGTGACTTAGACATCCCAAACTGAGCACTGTCTTGCTTGCAGCAAACCAAAATGACAAATTATAGCACCGTCTACATTTCGAGTTACATTTTCTTTTATAAAAGTGATTCAAAACTGAAATAAGGCATTCTTCCTTCCCCAAAAACGAGACACTTAGCAAAAAAACAAAAAAAACAGAAAAAAAAAAAACAACACTGCTTAGAGTTCACTTTAAGTAACAATTCACCTGGAAGCTCAAAATATAGTAATTCATCAATTTTAACTTTGAACTTAATTAGTACGAAGGTCAGAAAGTATGTCCCCTCTCTACTTAAAGATTATAAAAAAGCAATCAGAACTCTCTCACTAAGACAATCTGTTACTGTGCTACAGCCATCTCTGACACTCAAGCCCAAGCACATTGGGAACCCGGAAACGGAGATGCAAGAGACATACAGGATGAAGTTCTAGTCTATTAGGTCATTAGTTGCTAAATTAAGTAAGTAAACTGAAGGTGTTTAATCATAAAAAGTCACTCATGAAAAGTATGCTCATTCTTGTGAGAATTCCAGCTGTAATCTTTACTAATCCTTATCATTGGTTTAGTCCCCCTTCTGTAATCTACTAAGTTTCCAAAACAAAATCACAACAGTACTAAAAGAGACTGTACAACACCTAAAAATTAAAATGTTTTGTCCCACATAAAATGCATGCGGTGTGTGTGAGAGAGAGCCCCAATGGATTTTAATTCTGCTTCCCTGGAAGTAAGTGATTAATGAAAGCCTTTCAAGGAAAATGCCTTACGTGAGTCATTTATCTCTACATGGACCACATACTTCTCTTTCTCTATTTGCTAAAGACAGAGTGTGAACGGAGGAGGGACAGAGAGAGAGAGAGACATAGAATCTGAAGCAGGCTCCGGGCTCTGAGCCGTCAGCACAGAGCCTGACAAGGGGCTCGAACTCAGGAACTGCAAGATCATGACCTGAGCTGAGGTCGGACGTTTAACCCACTGAGCCACACAGGCGCCCCTCCCTTTGTCTATTTTGATGTTTGTGCGTTCATAAAAGTTTAAATGAGTTACACTGTGACATTACCTTCCTCAAAAAATTGATACATAAAGATCAGAAAGACAGAGCCTAGTGCTGATTCCTGAGGAACCCTGATCTGCTTCAATTCTCCAACCAGAGAATGAAGCAGATTCTAATGCCTGCCTAACGCTGACCTTTTAGAAGGATCCACCACCATGACAAATTTAAGAAAACAGAACACACACGTCCTTCATCAAGATCTGCATTTTACTTATAATACAGATGGAAACCCCAGGAACCGGGGCTGGTTTCATCGTGGACCGGTGAAAGAAACACAGACCCTAGTGACTCATGCTCAGAAACAGGGACAACCTAGAAACTTCGAATTTTACTCCCTGAAGAAGCTGGTAGAGTTAGGCCAAACCTTTATAATCTCTAACTCTTCCACATATTATACTGGTGGGTAGTCACAAATTCCTAACCATTCATTGATTTCAATCAAGAAACATTATTCTGACCACAGCTACCAAAATGGCTCAATTCTCCCACTGGGCCTAAATTGGGTAGAAATCTGTATTTTGTGAGCCTAGGCATTTTTTCCTTTTGTAGTCCATGAATCTAGCTAGAGTAAACCAAGCTGGCATCAATAAGGCTACTCAGTCAGAGTTCAATCCTGAATCAGCTCAGCAACAGAGATTTTGTAGCTGCCCTAAACAAAGACCAAAAAACCTCAAATTCCCTTGGTAAGTATTTTAGAAAAGGGGATCTCTTATGCCTTCTTTGCATTTGACTATTTCCCTCTTTGGCCTTCCATGTAGGCTACGTTTCTGTTCTAGAACACAGAAAGTGTTCTTTTTCTGACTAGAAGATCTCATTCTAATCCCTGGAAACACTTGAATTTTTTGACCAAAAAACCCACAAAGAAAAAAAAAATCCCTGCTTTGAAGAAGGTTAAGAGTTAAAGTAGCAAGACTGTTAAGCAAAGGTTGCCTTAAAAAAAGAAACCCTAGCCTTGTTACTGCTTCCCATGACACTGCCCGCTGGACAGCTAGCAACACAGGAAAGGAACGACTGACACAGAGGCTTGGGAACTTGGAAACCCGACTTTTGAGCATATGCCCTAAAACACTGTCTCTGGGCAGTGTGCTTCCTTACCATTCTATAGCCCAGCTGACAAAAATCTACACATGCAAAAATTACACATGAACTACTTATGTAGTAGTTCCGTAGCTGGGCAGCAGTTAGTGTCCCAATTTTGGACTAAAGTTCTCTGCCTTTCAAAAATGTGGACGTTTTCTGATAGTTTTGAAGGAAATGGCTACCCCAATGGCAGAATCAGAAACGAGAAAGCATCCAAAATTAAGGTATATCCCTTCAAAACACCCTCTGGCTATGGAAAACTAAGGCACGGTTACTGAAATTAACAGAAGTTAAACATGTCCTCAGATTTCAATAAAACTACAAATTCAAGCATTCTGTAGCCTAAGCAGAAAATGCCCAACACGGCCCACTGAATACTTTACTGTAGAACATCTGACACAGGCAGTTTGTGCATCAAGTGTCTCATCCTTCTGCGCTCTCTGAGGCTGGGATTTCTGTCCGGTTTGCGGCTGCTACATATTTAGTGCTTAGGAAAGTATCTGGCACAATAGGAGTTGCTCAGTAAGTAATGTTGAGGGAACGAGTCCATGCACAGGTTATGCAAGTGTCATTATTACAGGCAGAAAGGATACCATAACAAATTTAAATTGCAGCAGGCTTAAGAGATAATTTAGAAAGAAAACTGACTAAATCACAATATAGTATTTGTGCTGAAATCTCTCAACTGCAGCCTGTAAATTTATGGTACTATTTTAAGTCAAACAGCATTAGCCATCTTTGGAAACACAAGGTCATATCCTAAAACTTGCATGTACATGTAGGTCTTTTTAAAAAGCATGCTATGCATAGCACTTTTAGCTATTTATTAAAACATTTTAATGTTTCAGTTGACATTTGTTAGTGCTACGATGGCAGAGAACTAGCAGGTACTATAATGCAGTGAGAGCCCCCAGAACAGGCCAAAAAAGCTGGGCTAGCAATCTTTTTTTCATAAAAATGGAGCATAAGATTCATTCAAAATAGCAGTTACTAAAGCCTGATCAACTGAATAAATGAATAGTAAAATTTGTAAAGCTAAAAGCTATAAATGTTTACCAAAAATTGAGTACCCTCAGCTATGAACATCCTTAGTTTGAGGTGTAATTCTCTGTGTCTCACTGCTCCTCATCTGGAGTGGGCAAGTGTGGAAGGGGTGGAGACAAACTACTAAGGGAAGATTCTGACGAAGCTTCTGACAAAACAAAAGCCTCAGTAGTTGCTACATCACCAAGCTGTCATATACTGTGGAATCCTGGGTCATGGGTAAAGATCAGTGACAGAAGCCACACTGAGAAATGAGCAAAGAAAGTGGTAAGATTATTTTTCACAAAAAATAATCTACCATGAGATAAAAAATAGGATATTCTATTAGAAATATTCCATCCATCCTCTGTTCTTGCCCTTGTTTCATTATATAGTAAAAAGGAATGATCAAAATAAATAAAAAGGAATGAACTAGTGATACATGGAATAACCAGGATAAATCTCAAAAACATGATGCTAAGCGACAGAAGTCAGACTCAAAAAAGGCTTATATTACTTGATTACATTTATGTGGCCTTCCACAAGAGGCAAAATGACAGGAACAGAAAACAGGTCAGTGGTTGCTAGTGGCTGGGCAGGAAAGCACTGGCTACAGGTGCACAAAGGAATGTTCTAGGGTGATGGTAACAGTTCTGCATCTTGACAGTGGTGAGGGTCACACACAACTTTATGTGCGTCTACTCTTACACAAATGTCCCTTCAGAAGGCTGGATTCTACAGATCTGAATTATATTCCAATAAACCTAACACAAAAGGTTAAAAATGAAACTGACCATCTGCCAATTAAATAAAAATAACTTTCAGGGGCACCTGGGTGGTTCAGTCGGTTAAGCATCAGACTTTGGCTTAGGTCATGATCTCACAGGCCATGGGTTCAAGCCCCACGTCTGGCTCTGTGCTGACGGCTCAGAGCCTGGAGCCTGCTTCAGATTCTGTGTCTCCCTCTCTCTCTGCCCCTCTCCTGCTCTGTCTCTCTCTGAAAAATTAACAAACACTTGGGGAGCCAGGGTGGCTCAGTCGGTTGAGTGACCAATTTCAGCTCAGGTCATGATCTCACGGTTTGTGAGTCCGAGCCTCGCGTTGGGCTCTGTGCTGACAGCTCAGAGCCTGGAACCTGCTTCGGATTCTATGTCTCCCTCTCTCTCTGCCCTTCCCCCACTTGTGCTCTGTCTGTGTCTCAGAAATAAATAAACATTAAAAAAAAATAATAAACATTCAAAAAAATTTAAAAAAATAACTTTCAAATGTCAAGGATATGAATTTGTCTTTAGTCAAATCATTTTTCTCCAAGGGTAAAATTATAGAAAATCTCTGAAAATGATAAATTAAAGCCAAATGAAGATAACTATGATTTTAACCACCACGGATATAATGTTCAAAGTTTAAAGAAGCAGGTTTTGTATGTTTTAGAAGAATACTAAAGGTATCCCTTTATCTGCTTTAAAACTGGGTATTTCCTGGGGTGCCTGGGTGGCTCAGTTCAGCATCTGAATTTGGCTCAGGTCATGATCTCATGGTTCTCGTGAGTTCAAGCCTTGCATCAGGCTCTCTGCTGTCAGCACAGAGACCGTTTGGATCCTCTGTCCCGCTCTCTCTCTCTGCCCCTCCCCTGCTCACATGAGCTCTCTATCAAAAATAAAAATAAACAGTAAAAGAAAATGGTATTTCCCAACACTGAGCAAACCGACAGCTTAGAAATTTTAGCTTCTGAAACTAACAAGAAAAAGGAAGAAAAGAAAACCCACAAAGTGATAGATCTGAAGATGAGTAGTTACAGGACTTTTCCAAAATTGTTTTTTGTTTGGAATACTATTTCACTGAGTGGTTACAGAAAGTCATGAGGAGGGCTTTAGTCTTCAAAGGGAAAGACAACACTTGCATCGGGTCCCAGCCCCAGTGGGCAGAACAATGGGGACTGTTCCAGCGTGCCTCATCTCCCACAGACTGCCTTAGAACATATTGCCCCTTAGAAAGAGGCCCCTCTTTATTCTAACATCAAACAACCTTTAGGGCTATTGTTCACAATGAAAGAATCTGGGTGATACACATATAACCCAATGGAAAAAAAGTCAAAACTGAGAAAAAGAAATCCAGTTGACTCTTACACATGTTTACGGCTCTTAAAACACCACGTTCCACAGGAAACATATCTCTGTCTGTTACTAGACCACAGTCCCTTCTTAAAAAGGAACACTGTATCTGCTGCTATTGTATAAAAAAGTTAATGAAACCCAGAGCAAAATAGTTAAGGCAGGGCTCCAGATTTGAAATGGTACGTGTAAAGCACGGTTTGAATGACTGTGAAAATTTCAGGGCGAGTGATTTGTAAATCAACAAATCTGTATATGTATGCTACCATCAGAAACACAGGGATGAGCTTGTCTAAATGAAATTTACGAAATAATCAGATTAAGCGTATTTACCAAGACAAGAACACATGACGATGGTGAAAACAAATTCTTAAAAGGCAATTTTTCTAGGAAAAAGGGTCACCAAATGATAGTTTATATCAGCTTTAGGGTAAAGAACTTGATGGACTCTTCCATACCTTTAACGTCTGGATCATCAATATGCGGCTCTAGATTTTCTATCATTTCTTCAAGTTCCTTTCTGGTGGCCATAGTGATATTTGAAGAACCTGGTATGGTGACTTCAGGTGTTTCTTCTGGTCTCTCTGGGCTGAGTATATTCCCAGAGCCCTGCTCAAGCTCTATATCTAGATCTATTTCAGGAAGAGGAGTCCTCCAGAAATGGAAGGAGTTGTACAATTCCTGATCTAAGAGAGCTGAATCTGGTGAGCTGGTGCCACCCTCTGGCCGTAATGTAGATTTGCAGTTAGCGGGCTTTTTATCATTCTCATTACTAGCTGCTTCCTGATGAGATTCTGAGGACAAAGTACAAAGTAAAGAGCTGTCCATTGGAACACTTATTTCACCTGGAGATTTCCTAGATGTTTCAGCATGTTCTTCCACCATGTTTTCCAGTTTGACACTGGAATTACTAATACTGGGATCTGAAGAAACATCCTCTGGCCTGATTTGTACATCCTCTGGGACTTCTTGATCTCTGATCCTTTTATTGTTTCAGTTGGGGAAAAAAGAAATGAAAGTATAAAAATAATTACTGGAAAAAACTCAATGAAAGATACTACATAAAGTATTTAAACAAGTTAAATATTAAAAATTAAAAAGATTATCCACACAAACTGTATAGTTTATGTACTGGTAATGCTTCTTTTTCCATCAGTTGTTCTGTGTTCAGAGATGTAAATATCTGTTAAGCATAAGTCTAGATATTAAAGTATTACAAGAGTTGGAAAAGATAACACTGTAGAATCCCAGGATTCTTAAATGCCATGCTAATTTCAATAATAAACTAAAGAAAAACTGTAGGAAGATAAATTCCTACAATGCATTTAAAAAATGATCTGATTCTGAGGATTATGGTATTGCCACTGCTCCAATGACATTGAAAAGCTGAGAAATAAAACTTACTTGTTTACATAAAAAAGGAAAAAACCTCTATAATAGTGTTAGAAAAGATCCTTACTATCTGACAAAATGTTAAAATTCACTTAAGTGTAAATAAAGGTTTTTAAATTTCTTCCACTCTTTCCAGCTCTACTTCCAAAGATTTTTTTTCAAAATAGAGTCACGACTTAATTGATAAGGACAGATGGTACAAGCTCCTAAATTCGAGTCCACTGATTATTACCATCCATTGTCTAAACTAAAGCGCTATAGTAAGTTTGAATGTTTATCCCTTATATTTTATCTGATTCAATTAAATTTAACAAACACATATTGAGCACCTACTAGGAGCCAGGAAATTAAGCCAGTGCTGAGGATCCACATGGGAATGAGATGCAGGCCTTGTCAGGGTGATTACAATTGGAGGCAGACAGGAGAAACAAACATGCAAGCCAAGTACCTGCCACACAGAGTGGTGAGCACTGTGAATGGAGCTGAAATTCAAAGGCTTAGAGGAAATGACAGGAGTGGTGTTTGGAAGAACCAGTAAATGTTTACGAGGCTAAGGGGAAGAAAACGCACTCAAGGAAGAAAAAGCATATGCAAAAGCAGGAGTGACAGAGTAAGTATTATATACTCAAAAAGCCACCAGGAGTTTCTTACAGCTAAGAGAAGGGAATGATGGGTGACCAGGGTGAAAAACTTCACCAGCACCACCATGTGCCCTGCCAAACACCTATGGAATGGATCCTATGGGCTACAGGGAATAATGTAGGAATTAGGAAAACTGCATTTTACATGCGTTATTTTTGAGAGAACATTCTGGAAGTGGTGTAGGAAATGGGGTGGAGGTGAGACAGAAGGCAGGGACAATAGGAAGGGCGGTGAGAGGCAATGATGACTTTGTGAATGAAGGCAAGGCTGGGGCTAGAGAAGAAGTAAACACATTCAAATGATGACAAGACCAATAGGGTATATTTACTTGTTCCATACTGGTGACAGAAAACAAAAGGGAGGAATCTGGAAACTGCCAAATTTCCGGCTAGGTGTGACAGAACAGATCCTGGTAGCACCAAATGAAAGTGGAAAATGCCAAAACAGTTTAATGAGAAAGCTAATGGGGTTCTGGTTTGGACAGGCTATGTGAGCTATCTAGGGTGCATTCCAGGTGGGGATGCCCACAGGAAACTGGTCAGACACCGGGGACAGATCTGGAGGTCACCAACTCAGAAGGATGTGTGCGGGGCTTTGATGCATGCAAGGCAAGAAAGATCAATGAAAACACGATGGGCACAGAGTAACAGAGTGGGGGCATTTTTCTCGTGATGCCTGAGAGAGGTGAGCAGAGATGTAGCAAGTGCAGACATGGGAGACTGGCAAAACCGATGAGAAAGCATCATCTTTGGAGAAGAAAGAACATGCGCTCAAGAACACAGGTGCACAAATTAAATGGGGAAAGAGCCACCTCTTTCTAAGGAATATGAAAGGGAAGTAAGGATGAGTGGTGCAGGTCAATTTGAAGGTGAACGTGAGGAAAAAAAATTAAAGGTGCTCCCTTGAAACAGCATGTGCCTTTAAACAGACACAGTAAAACATACTAAACAGGGGCTCACCAGGACCGAGCAAACCGAAGGGGACGTTAACAGCTGCGTAATATCCCAGGTAAGTAGCCACCGAGAAATGATCAACTCCCCCCAGTTGGGCTTTATCTCATAGTAATGTTCACATTGTTTTCCAAAATATGTATTTTTAAAAACACGTGATTATTGTAAAGAAACTTCAAAAACATAGAAAAAAATATGTTAAGAAGTCATCTGAAAACATACCACACAACGACAGCATTTAAATGCTGGTGTTTCCCTTCTATTCTTAGGACTACAGTCAGTCAGGGTACACAGGGTCACAGTCAGGGTACATAGGAGAGTTGTCACACCTGTGGGAGCGCTGGGCCCCGAGATCTTGGCCCTTGTCCCCAGTGCCCGCACTGCACCCCCATAAACCTGGGTTCGGATTCCAGTTACTCCTTATTCATGCAGAAGGGATTGGCTTAGACAACCTGTAAGATTCCTTCCCTCTCCGAAACTGTTCCTGAAGCTAGCGCTGCCATGCCAAATAAATTTCTCCTACATGAGTATTTTCCAATCATGTGCTCCTTATTGGAAGACATCGTTTTACTTTTGTTTAAAGAATTTTAATGGGATAATTGGTGAAATCTGAATGGAGTCTCTAGATTACTGTATTGATGTTAACCTCTTAATTTTGGTAACTGGACTGTGGTTTTGTAGTCATGTCTGCATTTTGAGTAAACACATGCTGAAATATTTAAGAGAGGTAAAAAGAGTATCATGTCTAAAACATTTTCAAAGAACTCAGGAAAAACAGTGAAGCAAATATAGTAAAATATTCCCACTTGGAGGATCTGAAGGTATATGGAATTCTCTATGCTATTTTTGCTATTTTTTGATATGAAAATTAAATTTTTAATAATTACAGTAACAAGACATTGCTTGGTGGGAGTGTGGACTAAAGGGGTTAAAACTTGTAAGACTTCATCTGTTATCTGATAAATTAAAAACACCTGCATTTAAAATACACAAAAAGAATACAATTAAAAGCCCATTCAGGGGCACCTGGCTGTCTCAGTTGGTGCAGCATATAACTCTTGATCTTGGGGTTGTGAATTTGAGCCCCACATTGGGCATAGAGCCTACTTAAAAATGAATAAATAAACTCATTAAAAAAAAAAAGTCATTCAGTATGTAAAACTATTCCACGGGCCTGAAGTTCCTTGATTACTACTCTTACCGTGGCATTAAGATTAAATTTTAGGGGGGCCTGGGTGGCTCAGTCGGTTGAGCTTCCGACTTCAGCTCAGGTCATGATCTCACAGTCCGTGAGTTCGAGCCCCGTGTCAGGCTCTGTGCTGACAGCTCAGAGCCTGGAGCCTGCTTTGGATTCTGTGTCTCCCTCTCTCTCTGCCCCCAGCCCCCACTCACATTCTCTCTCTCTCTTAAAAATAAAATAAAAACATAAAAAAGATTAAATTTTAATATTCTTAGCCAAAATGAAGAAGAAGAATGGCCAAGTCATTCTATTTGCCTGATGTTACTATACTAGTCTGTATTTAAAACTCCTAGTAAGGGGGTACCGAGGTGGCTCAGTCGGTTGAGCACCCGACTTCGGCTCAGGTCACGATCTCGCGGTCCGTGAGTTTGAGCCCCACATCAGGCTCGCTGCTGTCAGCCTGTCAGCACAGAGCCCATTCTGGATCCTCTGTCCCCCTCTCTCTGCCCCTCATCTGCTTGCGCTCTCCCAAAAAATAAGTAAACATTAAAAAAACAAAACAAACAACTCCTAGGATGGTTTTAAAGGGACAAAAAAATTCTTCCTACTATTAAATTCTGGGAAGAATGACTACATGTATGGATAACAGTTGCTTCAAATTGTCAAAAATATAAATTATCTAAACACTGAATTTTCCTAGAGCTAGGTTAACAATCAATGCAAGATCAAGCTGCTAAATACCAAAATTCTGATGTTCTTAGTTGTCAGATTTCCAAATGCTATCATACAAGCAAACATTGTTTTGAAACCTGGGGAGACCTCTGATTCTGCAAAATGAGATAATTATCCTATCTCCTAAGAGATGTAGCTAATAAGAGCACGAGAGGGTAAGCCAGAAATTTCTGTAACAGAATTTTCCTTTAGCGTCTACTTAAGTTTCCTATTAGAGACTCCAGGTCTACAAAAATAAGTACGTTATATTTCAAGGAGAAAATGACCTGTGGGACATCTGGTTAAAGAAGTTCTATATCCTGACATGAAAGAAAAGAACATAAACCTCTTTCTAGTACTGTGAAATAAATAAATGGAGTTTTCGCATTAGTGAAATAAATTTGTACCAACAGCAATCTCACTTTCACACAGTTGGCGTTAGGCTAAAGTGACAAAAACTGGCCTAAGCGGCATAGCTACGTAAAGCTTCTGAGATTAAATTATTTCCAGAGCGCCTGGGTGGCTCAGTTGGTTAAGCGTCTGACTTCGGCTCAGGTCATGATCTCACGGCTTGCGGGGCTCTCTGTTGTCAGCACAGAGCCCACTTTGGATCCTCTGTCCCTCTCTCTGCCCCTCCCCGACTCACGCTCTCTCTCGTTCAAAAACCAAGAAGCATTAAAATACATTTTTTAAAGAAATGATTTCCTTACAATTCATTCAGGGTTTATTATGTGCCAACCACGTGCTAGGCTCAGTGAAAGTGTTCTTTTACATGAAAATAAAAAAACTAGATTGCCAGAGCAGATGGACTTGTAGTCTACTAGGTGGTATCTGCAAATGCACAACTGAAAAGCTATGGATCAGAAATTAGAACTCTCATTCCAGTGCTAGTGTCAGCCAAGATGCAAAAGCTCTGAATTTCCCAAAAACTCAGGAAAAGATTCGTGGAGGTAGTGAGTCCAGAGACAGCAAGCATGCTGACATTCACTTTGTTACATGAGATATGGGTGGAACAGAACAGCTCTCGAACAGAAAGCAGGGAGAATCAAAAGGACATAGTGTATTCAGAGAATAATATAACACTTGATTTGACTAAGAAGAGAATGCTTATTTTACATAATTTAGAAATGCAAACTTAAACGTTTAACTCTGCTTTTGGAAGCAGCCTTTATTAATACCTTCAAAGCATTAATAGCCTGATCTAGGATGAGTGAAAGATAAATCTGGTATATAACGTCAGAGGTTTAAAATCCATTAATGGGGGCGCCTGGGTGGCGCAGTCGGTTAAGCGTCCGACTTCAGCCAGGTCACGATCTCGTGGTCCGTGAGTTCGAGCCCCGCGTCAGGCTCTGGGCTGATGGCTCAGAGCCTGGAGCCTGTTTCGGATTCTGTGTCTCCCTCTCTCTCTGCCCCTCCCCCGTTCATGCTCTGTCTCTCTCTGTCCCAAAAATAAATAAACGTTGGGAAAAAAAAAAAAAAAAAAAGCAACACTGCCTTTTAAAAAAAATAAATAAATAAAATAAAATCCATTAATGCTTCAAAGTATTAAGTGATATTGAATGTTTCCAGAATCAGATTAAACTATATAATAAATAAATAGTAGTGGAAACAGGCTGTCAAAAACTTGCTTACTCTGTAAGACCTGAATTCCAGGAAAACTGAGAGGACCTTGAGAACAGGAACCAAGTTCCTGATTTCTATCTACAGGAGCTGGTTCATAGTAGGTGCTCAATTAATTTCTGCATAATCAACCAATCAATCCTAAATAACAAAACAAGTTTTACGACAGCTTAAAACCAAAGCCAGTATAGAATTAAGAGAGGGTAAACAAACTAATGGTTCTGACATGAGTAATACAGGGGACTACTTTTTTTGAAGTCAGGAAGTAAAACTACACAAAAGCTTTTATAGTACAACTCCCTCCTTAGCCGCAAATTCTCTTCCCTCCCCTATACCGTTAACATGATTCAATCAAGTCTAACAATATAGTGAAAACCCAATGCTACAAATAGTACTGACTTGACATTAAGACATGCTTCATTACAATGGAAGAGGAATTAATTAAGGTTTGCAGGTAAAAGATAGCTACCTTCACACAGCTCTTCCAATAATGTTCTACACCAACAGTCAGTACAACTACTGGCCATGACAGCCACACCAACTATTCTGGTCAGTAAAGTTTTATTGGAACACAGCCACGCCCATCTATTTATGCACTGTCTATGGCTGCTTTCATGCTGCAAGGGCAGAGCTGAGTGGTCGTGGCAGACATTGAAAATATTTATTTAGCCTTGGGAAAAAGGTTGCTGACCCCTGACCTGTACAATTCTCTGTAAATTCATATTTTCACTTACTAAACTCTCTCCAGATTTAAAAATAAAGTTATGTAATAGTCTTTGTACAATTAGGTAGTGAACAAGGCAGTGAACACTGACTTTAAAAATGAAAAACAGATAACATTCCCCCCCCCCCCCATTTTTGTCAAACTCCTTGCAGCAGCTGTTTTTCAAAAGAACTGACAGAATTTGCTCGCTAGGAAGACAGGTTTAGAGTGATTTTCTTCCTTTACAAAAAACAGTACCTCAGGTTTGTTTGGCTATTCAGCAGGACAGTAGGAGAACGGGCAAAAAGGTAAAACAAGGCAGCAGAGAAGAAAGGAAGAACTGCCAAATCAAAACACCAAGAAAGCAAATATCACAGTATCAAGACCTACAGAAGAAAATGTCCATTAGCATCATGACAAGGGAGGGACAAGACACTATGGCAACTTAAGCATTATAGTAGGGACTGTTTCAAAACCAGGTTCTAAATTATTTCAAGTGCACACCTGTAAAGTGCATATTTCCCATGCACCAAGTTAGGCTTGAATTTTTTCCCCTAAGTATATAATAAATTTTAAAAACTAAAACTCAAAATGTCTTAATGTAAAAAAGGTTTAAAAATAAAAAATCAGAGTTGTCCTTTGTATCTTAAAACGTAGCTGCCCTATTACATTTACAGTTGATATTCTAGTTAATAAGCACATTAATTTGGTGCTAATCATTACAATGCTTTCCCCCTCCATGAGAGATAATCATCATTCTGCAGAGTTCAAGATCCACAATTAAATTAACTGACTGAAAGGAAAAATAATAGTAAGAAATGGACTATATACTAAAACATATTCCCAAATTAGGTTCTATCCCTTAAAAAACTACTCTTTAGGTTGTACAATCATTACTCCGTCTATTCTAAATGTCAACAGATGGCTTACTAGGTAACTAACCTGTTAAATAAACTTACTGATTAAAAAGCTATCATATCTATCTCTCATTTACACTTCTCTCCATGGCCGGGGTCAAGCTCACTGCTACATGCATCTTCATCTTCTCATTTAAGACACAAATAACCAGAGGCATTTAACAAATGTATTTACAATACAGCTCTTTAAAAATATTTATCCATTTTTACAATCGAGACAAGTAGCAAAGGCTCCAAAAAGAACATTTATTATGAAAAACAGAGGAAATGAAAATCTGTTCACAGGCAATAAAGCTGGAAAGTAAAGTTTAAAGAAATCATACCTATTTTTGTCTTCTACTGATGTATCTTCTGAGCTTTTGCTTTCTTCTTTAAAATACTGGCCTGAGCTAGACGGATTAGCAAAAGTAGATATGAAAGGTCCCAAAGACTGAAAAGCTGCTTGGCGAACCTAGGAGGAAAAAGAGGAGGTAAAAATAAGGGATTATTAACAATCTACTGGCCATATACTGAAGTATGGTTAAGACAGGAGTAAGGTATTCTAAAAAACTCTCCCAGATTCAGAACTGTAAATCGTTCTTCAGCTAGGATTTAAGATTCTTTATAAACTATTCTGTTTTTTTACTTTCAACTTTAAAATCTGGCTTGAATATTCCAATCGTCAGAATATGAATATGAGAGCCCACAGAGCATTTGCGTGGGACTAAAGGAGGTCCTGCAGTGTTCTCAAGGAAACCAAGATTGCCAAACAGAAAACACAGGGCAATAAAGTAAAAAAATGTGATAATCCATTTCATGTTTTCTGGTAGGAAAGACTGTAATTTGCTTACTAAAAGGAAACAAGACAGATGTGCCAAAACTACAGACTTAATCGGAAATAGAATACTATTTCACAAAAAACTGGGTACACATACTACTGTTATCCATGAATGTCTCAAGCAGGAAAACTGAAAAAAGGTTATAGAATTTTATTTATCTTATATTGTATTTCTGTATTATTTTTGCAATCAAGATCACAAAAAAAAAAAAATGGGGGGAAGAGAGGATTCATGAGAGGAAGCGGAAGGATGGACACAGTCTGACAGGTCACTCTGAGGGGAGAAAAACCACAAACCAATTTCTCGAAGATCCTGCCCCTGAGGCATATCAATACCAATACTTTTTCCATGGTTTAAAATGAGGATTATGTGGGGCACCTGGGTGGCTCAGTCAGTTAAACATCAGACTTCGGCTCAGGTCATGATCTCACGGTCTGTGAGTTTGAGCCCCGCGTCGGGCCCTGTGCTGACAGCTCAGAGCCTAGAGCTTGCTTCGGACTCTGTGTCTCCCTCTCTCTCTTTGCCTTCCCCAGACTGCAATCTGTCTCCCTCTCAAAAATAAATAAAACATTAAAAAAAAAGAAAAAAGAAAAAAAACCATTTAAGATAGCAAAAAGCAGCGTATGTGTGAACTTACAGATTTTTTCCCCTTTATATGGTAAATGTTACTTCCATAAAAAAATAAAAGGTAACTTTTAAGATTATTTTTGCATGAGTGTAGTCTATTCTGGATACTGTTAAAACTCTGAGCTTGTCCCAAATAGGCCTAGGATTTACATATACCTCAAATGACAGATTTAAGGAATCCTTCATTTTAATATAAACATATTCCCAAATTACCAGGAAATACTGCATGTGCAAACAATGATAAAATAAAGTTTCAAAATGAAAACTTCAAATAAGCTACATAATCTTTTCTATCAAGCTCATGTAAGACATTTTTTAAAAAACATTAAAATAGTACTAAGGCTTAACAGTCTTTCCCTTTATGTAGAGTCTATTTGAATACGGAAAGGTCCTGAGATCTATTTCAGGTGTGACAACATAGGAGCGCCACTGACCAGTGAAATGGTTGAAATGGGGGGGGGGGAGAAAAAGACCTCCAAAAACCCACAATTTAACACCCAGGACATAGTCCTAGGGGCAGGCAAACAACAAAAGAAGGAATATCTACTCAAAAAAATCTGTAAATATTCAGTAAAAAACAAAAACAAAAAAAACTGAGTCTGGGGTATTTGAACCAGGGAGGTAAACCACTACTCCAAACTGTGGCAGCCAGCAACACTGGGCCGCCTCTCTTCTAGCTTCTAGCCAGAGGGATTTTGAGGTTTCTCCTCCTGCCCCAGCTACCTGATGCTGAGGCCAGGTCCTGGACAAGTACAGTGGGTGCAGGGGCTCCCTTCTTCTGAACAACGCCTATGGGTAGAATGGAAGCTCTACCTTGGATCTGGCTCAGAACACTGGGCCATGAGAATACTCAGAATACGGCCCCTGCCCCAGCTTATGGGGCCCCTCCTCCAGAATAGAGGAGCCAAGAGTACCCTCTGGCTGCCCACCCCGAGGCAGCCACCACTCCCACTCCCACCAAAATGCGGTCATCCCAGGGTGGCTGTGGGCATGCCCAGGGCTGCGCCTCCTGGAGGGGGAATAAGAGGCCACTAAAGCATTCCTGCCAGTCACTAAGCAAGTAAGTAGGTCATCATAACAAGCCCCAGAGAGGGGTACCAGTCCCCAAATTTGCTGTGTTACCTAAAATGACCAGTTTCAAAAATAAATAAATAAAAGGCATGAAAAGGAACAAAAAAGTATGATCCATACACTGGGGGAAAAGTTAGGGAACAGAAATTATGTGTGGGAACAGAAATTATGTGTGGGAACAGTAAGATGTTGGACTTAGAAAAAAACTTCAAAGTGACCAGTATAAATTATTGACAGAACAGAATGAAAGCAGGATTAAGGAAGTAAAGCAAGGTATGAGGACAGTGTCCTATCAAATGCAGGTTCATGAAGAGAATCAGATGGAAATTCTAGAGTTGAAAAGTACAACAACTGAAATAAAAACACCACATAAACTTAAATAGATCTGAACTGGTAGAAAAAAAGAATCAGTGAACACAAGGTGCATCATTATAGATTAGGCAAGATGAAGAACAGAAAGAAGAAAATGAGGAAAAATGAACAGAATCTCAGAAAATGTGGGACATAAAGTGTACCAACATATGTACAATAGGAATACCAGAAGGTCGGAAAAGACAGTATTTGGAGAAATGATGGCTTAAAACATCCCAAATTTATTAAAAATCAGTAACGTACACAACAAAGAAGCTCAACAAAGTAGGATGAACCAATGGAGATCTATAAATACATCGTAGTAAAAATGCCAGGAGTCAAAACAAGAAGAAAATCTTGAAAGCAGCAAAAGGAAAGTGACATATCATTTACAAGGGAACCCCAATAAACACTAATTTCCTGGCAAAAACAGGAGAGACAGACCAGAAGGCAGTGGGGACAACGTATTCAACGTGCGCAAACAAAAACCCCGTTAGCCAAGAATCCTATACCCAACAAAGCTATCTTTCAAAAACGAAGGCAAAATAAAGATATTCCCGAATGAACAGAAATTGAGAATTTACTGCTACCATATTTACATTATGGTAAATATGAAAGGAAGCTCTTCAGGTTGAAAGCCAGTTACCCTGGATGGTAATTCAAAGAAAAAAGAATGATTTCAAATTGATAACTTAATCTTCTACCTCAAGACACTGGAAAAAGAAGAGCAAAAGCAAGCAGAAGAGAGGGTATAATAAAGATTAGAGTGGAAGTTAATGAAATAAAGGACAGAAATTTAGAGAAAATCAGTGAAGCCAAAGTTGTAAAAGGCTGAAGAAAACAGAAAAACCTTTAGCAGAAACAAAGAGACAGGACTCAAATTACTAGAGTCAAAAAGAAGGGATATTACTACTAATGTTAGAGAAATACAAAGATTATGAAGTAAATACTATGGATCATATACCAGCAAATTAGAGCACTTACGTGAAACAGACGAATTCCTAGACAAACTATCAACTCTGACCCAAGAAGAAATCATCTGAGTAACTCTTTAACAAGTGAAAATAAACTTAATAGCCCTGTAACGAGCAAGTAGTAAAAAAAAAACCCAAAATCAAAACAAAACAAAAAAACCGCACACAAAGAAAAGTTAAAACTGAGATCGCATCACTTATTTCTACTCAACATTTAAAAGAGAACACCAATTCTTCGAAAATTCTCCCAAAACATAGAAGAGGAGGGAGTACTTCCTAAACTTGTTCTATGAGGAATTACTGTGTTAACAAAACAAACAAAAGAAAACAAACAAAAAGCCATCACAAGGAAGCTACAGACCATTATCTTTTACAAAACTATGAAAACCCCTAACAAAATAGTAGCATACTGAATCCAGCAACACAGCAAGAATTATTACACTATGACCAGGTAAGACTTACTAAAAGTCAGTTAACATCTGAAAATCAATATACCACAACATATCAATAGAATGAACATGATTTACATCTGTACCAAAGTTCTGCCCAGTTTAATAAACAAAAGTAACACAGTAGTTTACTTATTGCCTATTCCTAAAAGTATTAACAATAACATACTCTGAATAAATTGTTTCTTAAATTATGAAATCAAAACCATGTTTTATGTAAAATGTATTATTTTCCAAAAATGATAATTAGACAAAGCCCTACCCAACGTGAAGGATCACTGATCAAATTAATAAACAGTGCTGACAATTTAGTCCGCCGGATCTCTTGACATGTTGCGCAGGAAACCGCCATGAAGCATTCAGCACAAGCCTTCCGGACTCCCCACACATTGTCAGAACAAAGCTGGAAAAACCTGGGCAGCTATGCAAGGATAGGGTTTTGTTAGGCAGACAAACCAGGTTTCAGTGGTTACTTTTATTTCATTTTCTGTTTTTAAAATATTAGATTTTCCTATAACAATTTAGAAAAACCATGTAGCATTAACACTCAGTAATTTTAAATAAATCACACCTAATTCACAACAATGTTGACTATGGAAGAGCAAACCCAACAAATAAAGGTTAAATGTTATTCAAAAGCTTGTACCTAAACTGTTTTGCCTAACAGATGGCTTCAGAAGCTCTTCAAGTATGTTAACTTCTACTTTAAGCATGTATATCCCATGTACTCACCATTTAAAAATAACAAGCTGTAGGTTTAATTTGTCACTGAAATACTTGAGAGTTGCAGTTAAATTACAGACTTGTTTGAATAAAGAAAGAACTGATTTGTTTAATAGAAAATGGGAGAGGTAAAAACAAATCAATGGTTCTTATGCAATCACGTACATTCAGTTTTAACAAACCATCATCTAAATGCAATTCAAGGGCCCAGATTACAGAAATTTAAACTCTCAAGGTCATATTATCTTTCTGGTTTACGTTCACGGAATTGTGTTCATAAAATGTGGGGTGAATGTATGCACTGCAAATTCACGTGTCACTCTGTACCGTATTGCTTGCTCCTTTATTTACCCCTTTATTTCTGCAATACTTACCAACATCTCCTCAGTAGCTTGCTGGCCAACCACGCTGCAAATATCTCCAAAATTGGCAGCACAGACCTGCCAACAAAAGCATCACTGACATTTCAAAATATTACAAATACACTGCTTTAAAAATAATCTTCTACGTTTCACATATCAATACAGTAACCACTAAAACCACATGTTCTTAAACAAACAAAATGCCTAAAAAATACCTTTCGAACATGAAACATTCTGCAATCACAGCACATCTCACAAAACCTAGGGAGGATAAGACGCTCTGTAATGTCCTTCCCAACCATGGGAGCCATTTTGCACATTATCTAAAATGGATAAGAACAAAAGCACACTGAAAATATCTTCAAGTTAAGACTTTTCCAGTTAAGTTTGCTAACTTGTTAAAAGTATATACTTCAGGAAATATAAAATAGGATATGGCATCACACCGCAAACATCACAAAAAACATTCATCTTATTTATCCAAGTTGAAGACAGAAAAATAGATACTACCGCCAATAAAATCAATCAATAATTACTAAATGCACAGTAAACCCAGAGAGAATCTGAAAAATTTCATTTTCATCTATAGTTTCAATCTTATTAATCATTTTGCCTGATAATTTAAAAGCAGAATCCTCTACATTTTCCCAGTAAGAAAATGAGTGGTAACTGTTCAACGGGAAAGATTATCCATACGAAGAATGTGGATTTAGTATATTTGTGCTGCTAAGACTTATTTGGAGGCAGTCATTACCTTGCAAAGTACCGTTTTAACAGAAACTTGTGCATAAGAGAACTGCCTTGGTTCCAAGGAAGACAAGGACACGGTTCCAACGCACAGTTTCAGTTAACGCAGTACCAGGCAAAGTGAGAATGAACTATGTTTGAAAACCTGCCCAATGTTATTTAAATAAATCCCCCTTCCCCACTCTCCCAGTTAGTACAGAAAGAAATCTGATGGCCTATTATTATTTATCTATTACATCTACTCCTAGCCATACAAATAGGATTAGAAGTAAATGGAATAGAGATTGCAAAGAAAGAAAACTCCATTCACACACGGCAGGACTGTCTAGCTAGAAAACCCCAAGGAATCTACAAAGAGGCCACCAGACAAATAAGTGTACTTAGGAAGTTTACAGCACTTATGTCAGAACATAAAAATCAAATGTATTTCTATAAATTAGCAATGAACTGAAAACATTTAACAGCAGTATCACTGACAACAATGTTAAGAAACACAGTTCAACAAATTACATACGTTCTGTTTACCCAAAACTACAGAACACTAATGAGATACATAAAAGACCTAAATAAATGGAGAGACCTACATGCTCACGGATTTTTAGGTGGGCAACTATCCCTAAATTGATCTACAGATTCAACACTATCCCCATCAAAATCCCAGCATCCTCAGAACTGGAGATAACATCTGAAATCTCCCAAATCCCAAAACCAGTTTTGTTTTTTGACTCCCTACTATTTCTAAGCATTTTCAAATTCTAAAGATCCAAAGTTATACTGTATCACTGATGTAGCATAATTAAATTCATCAGAAAGAATTATTCCCAAGACAGAAAACAATTATTAGGACCAGGGAATGCAAAACATGACTAAATAAACCGACCGGTAAAAGAATTCTGGGTTTCATACTACTGCTAAATACAGTCTTTTTACTACAGTTACCATGTTTCATTATTGTTAAATCTAATAAAAATAAAAGAGCAAGTTAAACTCTGAGTTCCCCAAAAACGGATTTCCTTTACTGAGGAACTTGTGAAATTAAGCAAAACAAAATAAAATAAAACCTATGTTTGGGATTTGACAGAGGTGCTGGTTGTACAACACTGTGGATGTACTAAATGCTAACTTAACTGTGTGCTTTAAAAAGCGGTTTTTGGGGGCACCTGGGTGGCTCAGTCAGTTAAGTGTTTGACTTCGGCTCAGGTCATGATCTCACGGTTCATGAGTTTGAGCCCCATATGTCGGGCTCTGCACTGACAGCTTGGAGCCTGCGGCCTGCTTCGGATTCCATGTCTCCCCCACCTCCCCCCCCCCGCCCCTCCCCCACTTGCACTCTGTCTCTCTCTCTCAAAAATACATTAAAAAAATAAAAAATAAAAAAATGAAAAATAAAAGGCAGTTTTTTATTATGTGAATTTCATTTCAATAAAAATGGTATTACTGAAAAGTGCCTAAATTTATTATTCACTTATACAGTGTGTCTAAAATAATGGAATCAAGAAATTTCCAAAGGAAACGGGACTAGAGAGATGACCTAATTCATTCTTCTAATGATCCGGAAACACAATACAATTTTGGTATAATTTTTTTTATATCAACAAAAGTGCAATTATATTATTTTAGATTTAAACAGTAAACTCTCACTACCCAAAGAGATTTGAATTTTTAGATGGACTTATACCTGACTTTGTTATGCACATAATGATTTAATCTGTGCATTTTTCTTATAATCACAATTTGTATCACATATATCATAAAACTACTCACCTGACTATTCTTTTCTGAAAGACCAGACTGTCAAGGGCAGGAGGTAAGATGTTTTTTTTTCTTCTGTGTTTACACAGTGCTCAGAAAGTGTTCAATGGCAGCAACTAGAGTTTCACAAATGTTTCTTCACCCAATACAGGGCTGTGTTTTTGTCTTAACTACACTGATTATTTCTCCCATCTTATTTTTCCATAATAATGAATTTATAGTTACTTCTTACTCTCTTGCTGCATATCTGCTTCCTCAGAGCTCAGTGATAGAGCCCTCTAATTCACAGGTACAAAGCATAATATGGGGCCCAAAGAACACAGACCTTTTTTGTATGCCTATGTCCCTTTCTAGCCCTTTCTAATGACCTGTGGTTACTTTGATACTTAATATGTATAAACTCCACAGCACAGAATGCAGTGTAATATTTGAGCCATTATTATTTGTCAATATAGTGACTTATTTTTACCTAAACAGAAAAAAATGCCTTCTACTTACAGCCACAGCTTCTGTTTTCACATCATCGTTGCTATCTGGGGCAGTGAGCTCTATGAGGACAGGGCACACTTTGGTCTCCACATCAAATCGCTCAATTAACTCCTGCTCCAGCAGAGCCAGCAAAGCTGCCTGACTTGTTTTTCTTACCTATGAAAAAAAATCAGTAGTGTTAACAAAGTACAGACACAACAAAACTCTATCACTTGATTTTCACAAAACGGAAAACTTTTCATTTCAAAGGGATCCGTAAGTGGCAAAACGTTGCAAATAAAAACTGACGGCTATGTTCTCCAACTGTTGCAAACACAGAACCCCTGCAGACTGTGATATGACAAATGGTGACTCACAAATCAGCAAACTTTCTGAGGGACACCCATGAGGGTACCGAGGGAGAATGCAGCAAATGACACTGTCTCTAATGCATTAAGGAGACTCCCTAGATTTGCAACACTCTCAATGTATCTTGTCTAAGACAAACGGTCATCTCAAAAAATGGAATGATGAGTGGAGGAGGAAAAAAAATTCAAATGAGACCCCCTAGGGTAGGCCATTCTACATACGTCATACTACACAAATTTCCATTAAGAACACATAAATGGCACTCTTACCTGATTATTCTGATCTGCGAGATATCTAACCACAATAGGTAGTAAGTATTTGGAAAAAGCATATGGGATTGAAGGCCGGTTTTCTTGACAAAACAATGCAATGTGAGGCACCTGTTCCATCAGCTCTGCTCTCACAGTTGGCTCTATTGAAATAATAGAAATATGAGCAAACACACTCTCCCACAGTAACAAAATCTATGCATGGGCTTAAGACTAGGAAAGCTCTGGACTTCCATCCTCAGCATTCAAAGGGCTTACAAAATGTTCTCTGACTCTGGGATCCTTTTCACAATCCTAGGCAGGTCAACGCACGAGTGAAAGAAGACCCGACTCCCATCCCACACTTCTATTTTCATACAACACACTGAGTATGCAATCATTTCCTATCATGACTGAATTCATCCATCACCTACATTGTGCCACATATGCTAGGGGTTAAGTATCCAATATTCACATCAACAAAATATAGATTATCTATAAACTCAACTATTTAAGAGCCTCTTAGGACAAGCCATAAGGACTGGTTCCTAATAAATTTAAATCACTGCCTGGAGAATTTATAGTTAAAATTATGACTAAAATGGTAAATGACCATTAAAGAAGACCAATACAGTTAGAGGAAAAAAAAAAAAAAAAAAAAAAAAAACCAAAAACCTGAAGAGACCCAAGTAAATAGAGCACATTTAAGTGTGACAAATACAGCATTTCAAATCTCTGGTTTCAAAAGGGAAGTGTCTAAGAGTAATGGCAGAGAATCAGCTAGTTATGTGAGGAAAAAAGGGTGATTCCTATACTACACAGCTTAAACTCTAAGTGAATTAAAGTTCCAAACTTTATTATTTTTTTTTAAAGATCAAAAGCACTAAAAGACAACATTTTAAAAAAATGTTTCACCTTGAGGCAGGAAGGCCTTCAAAGGCAAAGAAAACCCCCAAACCAACCAAGAGACCAACTAATTCCATTTTATAAAGCCTTCAATACAGACAACAGGTCCCATACTCAGTTAAAAGGCAAACCAGCCTGGGAGAAAATACACACATAACAAAGTATTAATAACTATAAACCAAGAATCCACTGTTCAAATGAATACAAGAAAGAAAATAAGGATACAGACAAGTAATTCGTAGAAGAAATGCAAATGACTAAGACATACATAGACATGATGGATTATCAATACAATTCACCATATTAGACTCTGTTAGAACTTTGGCACCTATTAATGATTATATTATTAAAGTTACTTTAAGGTAAATATGCATGCATGGGGCCAGAGGAAATTTCTGACTTCAACAAATAGAAATTAATGAAAGTATCAGCAGAAAATGTACTAGCATTTTACAAAGCTAAGAATCTTATCAACAAACCACTATGTGGAATTTCTATTACAGGGCTGTGCCATTTGAAGTTAGACCATAATTGAACAAAAATAGTGCTTCTGCTTTGAAAAATAAAAAATTAGTTAAAAAAAAAAAAAAAGACCTAGGCCTCTCCTTTTCCTCATTAACCCTGAATTTGCTAACTGACCTAATAGTTACATGTATTTTTGAAGTACATGAAGGACACAAGTTACAGTTTTAGTTGAGAATGAAATCAGTACGTTTTCTTTCTTCAAAGCCTTCTTAGGCAACGGACCAAAACGGAGCTGAGAAATGAACCCACTGTGAGCTGTCTGGGAGAAACTGAAGGGCTGGGGAGGGATTTCAGAGCTACTGCGATGGTTGAAGGGAGTGAAGGAGAAGGGAGTTGAGCCTAAAGTCTCTAACTTGGTGGGCTGGGCTGATCATGACATCCAAGTTAAGGACTACTGAAAAATATACAGTTGTAAAATTAATGCATATATTCCATTCTCCTAAGCAAACAAGGGGCTTAGAACCTTTAAATCTTCTGTCTGCCTTATCCTTATCAACTTTGATCTTGACTTTTTTTCCCCTCTAAAGTATAGATTTTTATGATTTTATATAGCAAATGCTTGGTTAGACTTACTACTAACTTACTAATTTTTTTTTACCTCATTGGTACATCTTTCATCCAACTCTTTTCTGGTTCAATTTAAAAAATCCATAAATACAGTTACACCCCAACAACATAACAAGCTTCAGAAGTATGAAGCAGCTAGACACAAAAGAACATATTTAGTATGATTCCATATAAAGTTCAGAGAGGCAAACCAACCTATATACTTAGTGGTCAAGATATTGATTTCCTTGGGGAACAAGAACAGGACAGAAATGGGGGGGTGCCCTGAAATGGTTTCTGGGACGCTAGTTCTATTTCTTGAGCTGAGTACCAATTACATAGCTTCATTTTGCTTTACTTCATGGGGCTGAAAATTTATAGTCCGTGACTTTTTGTAGTAAGTTTCATTCAATATTAAAGTAACAGAGTCCCTCCCAACAAGTGTTCCTGTTGCCCATGTTTTTCACCAAGTCAGTCCACACTGGTACATTATCGTTCTAAATCACAAAAACACAAACTCTCTAGTACGGCATACAGTATAAATCCTTACAATCCAGACCCCAACTACCTTACTGAACAGCCTCATTACTTTAAACTGTAGACTCAGTAACCTACCTGTTGGGCAAATGGGCCACTATCATGAACTCCTTAAACCTCTAAACCGGTCTTGTCTTCTCTTCTCCTGAGTATGCTCCTTCCCTTCTTCGTACTTCATCATTCTACTAAATCCAACTCAACGTCACTAACATTCTGAAGCCAGTGCTAATCCTCTCCATTATAATTTATTGTTTAGGAGTTAGCTGCATTCATCAAACTGTTAATTTGATGACAGAAATTCTTATTCACCTTAGTAACTGCTCTAGCATTTATCCTAGATTCTGGCATAGGACTGCACACTATATTATGTTTACTGAATAAAATATATAAATGTCAATAGAGATATTTACCATGAACTTAACAACTTGAGAATATATATATCGTTTAAGTTTATTTATTGACTTTGAGAGTGAGCAAGTTGGCAAGGGGCAGAGAGACAGGGAGAGAAAGAATCCCAAGCAGGCTCCATGCTGTCAGCTCAGAGCCCGATGTGGTGCTCAAACTCACAAACTGTGAGATCATAACCTGAGCTGAAACCAAGAGCCAGACACTTAACCGACTGAGCTACCCAGGCGCCCCAAGAATATATTTCTAAAATCTAGCACCTGGGTGGCTTAGTCGGTTAAGCATCTGACTTCAGTTCAGGTCATGATCTCATAGTTTGTGAGTTTTGAACCCTGCGTCGGGCTCCGTGCTGACAGCTCATAGCCTGGAGCCTGCTTCGGATTCTGTATGCGTCTCTCTGCCCCTCCCCTGCTTGCACTGTGTCCCTAAACATCAAAAAAAAAAAAAAAATTTTTTTTTACATAAAGTTTACCCTTGAACAACTAGGGGGCTGAGGGACTGACGTCCTTTGTGCAGAAGATCCACATGCATCTTTTGACTCCCCAAAAACCTGACTACTAATCGCCTCCTATTGACTGGAAGCCTTACCAATAACAAACAGTTGATTAACACATAATTTCTATATTATATGTATTGAATACTGTATTCTTACAATAAAGTTAGCTAGAGAAAAGAAAATATTAAGAAAATCATAAGGAAAATAAACTTATAGTACTGTACTCACTGAAAAAAATCTGTAAAACTGGACCTGTACACAGTTCAAACCCATGCTGTTGAAGGGTCAACTGTATATACATATATATTAATAAAAACCAGCACTGTAGGTAAAAGAAAATAAACAAAAATTCCTCCATAAGGAATATCTATTTCTACTAAGAAGGAAAAAATCACAATGGGATGAGCCAAAATTTTAAGTCAAATCGTTATATTTCTGACCAGTTAAAATTATAAGGAAAAATTATAATTGATGAGACTCTCCTAAAACCATTCTGGCACAAGCATACACATAAGCAAGTACATACAAAGAACATCGTAATGAAAAAGATTAACTTACAAATATTTTTTCTACCCTATAGGAAAATAAAAATTACTTAATGCTTACGTAAATAGTAAAACATATTCCTACAAAACAAACTGCTCACCAAAAGACAGGCTCATCTAAAAATTAAAAAATGAGACTGCTGACATGACAAAAAGTTTGTTAGAAAGTGAAAAATAACACATTTTAATAAAGAGATAATAGGCTAAAGAAAAAAAATTATTTACTTTTGAATCTTTCTAAAATGAAAACACGCTTATGACTTAAGATTATGTTAAAATGGTAAATTGCATGTTATACATATTTCACAAGAAAAAATATTTTAAAGAAACTTAATATAACCATATTCCAAGCCTCAAATCAGGTTTACCTCTTTCTTAAGCAGACCGTTCTAGCTTTGCTTTGGAGACAAAAATCTTTAGCTTTACCATGTGTAACTGACATTTTTTTGCAAGTGAGAAAGCATACAAAAAGGAAGCATTTTATATTTGCCTCAAAAAGTTTACAGCCCACTCTGTCCCTTTTTAAAACTTATTCAAAATTATTTTTACGTTTTTAGTAATCCTACAATTAACATACATGATGCAAAACAGTATTTTTAGATTTTTCTGATGAGAAATTTCCAAAATTAAACTAAACAGAGACCAACTATAAAATGTATGAATCTTAGGAACAGGATTTTCTTGTTACTGACACAGTTGGGAATTTACTTAGGAAATCTTTTAAAGAAGTCTCATATCACACTAAGTTTTTTCAATAGTTTTTAAAAACTCAAATTTGGTAAAAGAAACCTTTCTCTGCATTAAAAATATACCTGAATCGTCAGCTAATCTGCTAATTCTTTCCAAAACAGCAATGCAATCTCTTTCATCATCACAGACTTCCCTCAACGTGTCCAGCAAACTCCGGGCCACCATTTGTCTAACAGAAAAAGAAAATAATATAGCATTTAGTGGAATTTTAGAATTTCAAAGTGTAGAATCTATATAAAGAAAATTTTTTATACATTTTATAACATAAATTAAGTCACTGATTTCCTAAGTGACAAATGCCACTATGGATTTTATTTTACCAAGATGAGAGAGAATAGTTACCAAAATATTTTTCATCTTTAACTGATGTAACAAATTTCTAAGGTCACTGAAAATTCTATAAAATTTCAAGCGTGATCTTCAATTATCAAACAATGGGAAAATACACACACTCTTCATTATACAGATGACCTTCACACATTTTTACTAAATGAGTTTTACACATCTATACTCAAAAATTTAAGCAAAGACTTATCAGAAAAGTCTGATACAGGTGATCTGGGGACCACCATTGGAGAAACAATGCATTAGGAAGTGTGTCCCAATCCCCTTGAACATCACCTGGCACACAGTAGGTATACAACATCACCTGCTCAAAGAAGAATATACTCCCCTCAGTAATCGCTTTACACAATCATCAAAATTATGCCTAATAGCAAAAAAGCAATGGTATTTTTTGTTTTGGACAAAAAGCAAAGAAAGAGTGCCACACAGTTACTAGGATTAAAGAGTAAACAATTATAAAAAAAGCTGTGGCTGTGATTATTAATAAAACATGGTGACTGAGACTGCACGTTAACAATACAACTTTAAACTAAAAAACTGTATGTATTTTCCTTACTGAAATTAATGTAGGAAAACCCTCCTTCCACTTCCATAATGAAAAGAATATGCATGTACCTGTTAAATACGTTCTCACTTGCAGCATACTTGTCCAGTCTCCCCAGTGGCGTCAACATTTCATCTTGTGAGACAAAGTCCAGGGCTGAAGGTATAATAATCACATCAGACTCTGAGCTGTAGTCATCCACACCAACTATCAGAGACATCAGAAATACTCCTTATAACACTTTGAAACTAAAAAGTATCCCTTGCCTGTCTGAAGAGCTTAAATAAAACTGCCTTTAATGTTTCTGGAGTGGTATAAAGGGTCACAAGTGACTCTTACATCAACTCGGAAGCCATGAATAACTGAAGGATGCTTCCTCTCCTTTTCCTACAGATAGGTCTAGTTGTCTCTAGAAACATGGCGGTCAGAGGCTTCAGAAACAGCATGGGGTGATAACGGAGAACTCACATGTTCAATCAGAACACTAACAACTTGTAAATAAATAAAATGTCAAACACGGATACTCTTAATTCTGTAATGCAGTCAGAGAAAAATTCCCCTTATAAACAAAGATAAGAATTACAGCAGACTTCTCATCACAATAAAAGCCAGGAGACAGTAATCTTTAAAGTGCTAAAAGAGGAAGAAGGAAAAAAAGTCTAACTAAAACTCTATACCCAGTAAATAAGCATCTTTAAAATATCTTTGAAATTCGTATCTTTCAAATACAAAGGTACAATAGACCTTTTCAGACACACAAAAGCTGACAGACATCATCACCGGCAAACCTGCACTGTAAGAAATATTAAAGTAAGTCTTTCAAGCAAAAGAAAATTGTACCAATTGGAAATCCAGACCTACACAAAGGACTAAAGAGCGCCAGAAATGGTAAATAGGTGGGTAAATACTAAAGACTTTTCATATTTAAAAATCTCTTTGAAAGATAACTGTTTAAAGTAAAAATATGTGTTGCAAAATAAAAAGATAAAAAACATACTGTGGGGACTCCTAACTATAGAGAACAAACAATAGTTACGGGGGGGGGATGGGTGAAATGGGTGATGGGGATTAAGAAGTGTACTTGTGGTGAGCACTGAGTAATGTACAGAATTGCTGAATCATTATATTGTACACCTGAAACTAATTTCACACTGTATGCTAACCAGAATTTAAATAAAAGTTTTTAAAAAGTACTGTGGGATTTCTAACACATATAGAAGTAAAATGTATGACTATAATAGCACAAAGGCAGGAAAGAGGCAAAGTCCACCTTCCTAACATTCTTACACTGTATATGAAGAGATATGTATTATTTGAAGTCAGACAGTAGTAAATTAAAGATGTATACTAATTATAAACTCTAGAGCAACCATTAAACATCAAAAACAACCCCACCAAAAGTTATACAGCTAGTAAGCCAATAAACGCCATAAAATGGAATCATAAAAAACACTCAACCCAAAAGGAAGAAAAAGAGGATAAAATAAGAGATAGGACAAACAGATGAGAAATAGCAAGATGAGAGATTTAAACCCAACCATGTCAATTATCACGCTGAACACAAATAGTCTCAACAACCCAATTAAAAGACAGAGATTTTCCAAATGGATTAAAAATAACACCTAACATGGAAATAATTGCTTACATAGTGCAGGAAAGTTTTATACAGGTTGTGCTGATCTACAACTCACAGCAAAGTACCTTACTTATTTTGAATCAGAAAGTTGTAAAAACTGCTCAGACGCTCTCACTTGGCCTCTGTTTTCTCCTTTCTCACACACATCTGTTGAGCTAGCATGGCCTCAAAAGCGCCTTTATGCAGGCTCTAGAATTCTATGACTATGACCAAACTGTTTCATCAGCCTCACACTTGTCAATCTTAAAGATAAACATTAATAACACTGACTCTAGTCCTTACGAAGCCTAGAGGGGCAACCATCGAACACTGCTGTGTTTAAGACAAGCCTGGCGCACTTATCTCTGAATGCACACTCCCAGGTCACACATTCAAATACTGATTATGTAGGCTCGGAGTGCGGCCCAGGAGCACCCATTTTAATAAATATTCCTACCAACTCAAATGCAGATTATTGAACTACCGTATTTGAGAACTATATTCTCAGAGGGCAACAAAATCAATTTTCCTTCAACTTCTGTCACCACTCTATCGTGGTTGACAATTGTCTACAAAAGGAGGTGTTCCACTCTGGCATAGGCAATGGTGACAAAGCTTCATTTCTATTTCCCATTACTGCTGCCTCCTGCCAATATCTGTGGAATCATTCTGGCCTGAATCGTCCTTTCTGAATTCAAGATTTCTTCATCAATTCTTGACTGGACCAATAAAGCTCTGGAAAGCATCATTATGGAGGCCACAAGGATTGGTTACCACAGTTACAGACTGCATGCTTAGATCTTACCCAGTCATCCTGCAAACACCTACCACAGGTTATACAAAAGAAAAACACAAAAATAATCAATAAAAAAAAACCTCTTACCACAAATGAAAAAAATCCTACAGCATATACCCTGAGTGATGGTACAGTAAATAATATCCTCTGATAAAACAGACAACATAGAGTAAATGTAGCTGTACTGCTACAAGGATTCTATAGTTTATGCAAAGTACAACACTAACTTTAAACAGAGTATGATAAATTAAAGACAAATTATAGTCCTTAGGAGTAATCTCAAAAACATGTAAGAAAGCAGCATAGCTAGAAAGCCAATAGGGGAATTAAAATGCAATACAAAAAAAGTATCATCAACCCCAAAGAAAGTCAGGAAAAAAGCAACATGAAAAAAAAAAAAAAAAGAAAGAAAAAAAAGAGACAAAAAGAAAAAAGCAGACCCAAGGGTACCTGGGTGGTTCAGTCAGTTAAGTGTGGACTCTTGATTTGGGTTCAGGTCATGATTCAGGGTCATGAGATCAAGCCCCGCATCAGGCTCCACACTGATCCCAGAGCCTGCTTAAGATTTTCTTTTTCCCCCTCTCTCTCTGCCCCTACTGCACACACGTGTGCACATGGGCATGCACATGCTATCCCTAGTAGAAAAAAATAAATTGAAAACAAAGAAAAAGAAAAAGAAAAAAGCAGACCTAAACACAATCAGACCAATAATTACATCACATATAAGTGGACTAAACATTTAAAAGCAGAGATTCCCAATTAAAAAAAAGTAACACCCAATTACGGATGTCCACCATAGACATAGCTTTAACGGCAAAATTTCAACTAAGAGATTGAAAAGAAAAGGAATTTTTATTTTTTTATTATTTATTTTGATACAGAGTACACCTGGGGGAGAGACAAAGAGAGAATCCCAAGCAGGCTCTGCACTGTCAGCACAGAGCCCAACGCAGGGCTTGAACCCACGAAATTGTGAGAACATGACCTGACTCAAAACCGAGAGCTGGATGCTTAACCAACTGAACCACCCGGGTGCCCCAAGGATTTTTTTTTTTTTTAAAGACAAAACATGAAATAGTAAGATAAGAAAGCTGGAGTGGTGATATTCTTAGACAAAACAGACAAAGACAAGGAATATTACTGTGGATGAAGAGAGACATTTCATGCCTCCATACCCCACCTGAGGGCTTTCTTTCTAGATAACTAAAGTTTACAGAAATTCACTATGACAGCAACAGCCCTTTAGGGTTTCATAGCTTTAAAAACTTAGTCTCCTCCACTGATGAAGTAAAAAAACCCATGTCATCTTTCCATGTTATTTGAAATTTCAAATTTACCAAAAAGCATATAAAAACAATGATCACTCTGAAATGCTTCTTCAAATTATCTGACCTCCCCAAATTTCCATACTTTCTCAGCTCCCTACACCAGAGAAAGCAATGTTCCATTTTCAGCTGTTTAAAATTTTTTTTTTTTCAACGTTTATTTATTTTTGGGACAGAGAGAGACAGAGCATGAACGGGGGAGGGGCAGAGAGAGAGGGAGACACAGAATCGGAAACAGGCTCCAGGCTCTGAGCCATCAGCCCAGAGCCCGACACGGGGCTCGAACTCACAGACCGCGAGATCGTGACCTGGCTGAAGTCAGACGCTTAACCGACTGCGCCACCCAGGCGCCCCTCAGCTGTTTTAAATTTAAGGAAATGAATGTCTAAAACATAAACGTTGGACCCATTTTTTAAGGTGATTAATTTAACCCCTACATAGTTACAGCAAAGTAGTATGAAAAGGGCAAAGGCTCTTTAAAGTAAGACAGATCTGGGTTCAAATGTCATGTTTTGCTACTTATGAACTTTCTATGTGGACTTACACAAATACCTAATTAATTTGGGTCTGCTTCCTCATCTATAAAATAACGCGACTTAAATAAAGGCCAAGACTTTTTAAGACACACATTCAAAGATAATGTGTACAAAGTATGATATGGTGTCAGGCAAATAAGGTAAACGTTCTGTCCCACCTGCATGTAGGTTTCTTTCTAGATACAGTGAGTCTCAATGTGGTTTCCATGTGTTTTTAAATGTTGTCATCCACGTCAACCAGTAAGAGGGCAGCACATATACTGTAAGTGCCAGGCACTCAACAAGAAACACAGATACAGGGGCGCCTGGGTGGCGCAGTCAGTTAAGCGTCCGACTTCAGCCAGGTCACGATCTCGCGGTCCGGGAGTTCGAGCCCCGCGTCAGGCTCTGGGCTGATGGCTCAGAGCCTGGAGCCTGTTTCCGATTCTGTGTCTCCCTCTCTCTCTGCCCCTCCCCCGTTCATGCTGTCTCTCTCTGTCCCAAAAATAAATAAACGTTGAAAAAAAAAAAATTAAAAAAAGAAACACAGATACAAACATTAGACAAAAAGTGTATGCATGTAGTATGCATGTATAAATATGTGCAGGTATCTATATGTGTCTACATATATACACTAAGAAAAGATACATGGCGTAAGCATACAAAATATGCTGTTAACTATTATATGTTGTTCATTATTATATGTCTAATCTGCCCTGGTGAGTGAATATAAGAAGGCTTCCAAAAGTCAAGCAATTCTTGGAAGGTATACTGGACTTTGCCAAGCAGGACAGAGGGCAGGAAGAGGGCATTCTAAGCAAAGAAATCTGAAGACAATGAGGAAGTAAAGGAAAACTATTAGTACAGGTGGGACACAAGGTTTATACAGAAGTGAGGCAGGAACAGCAGAGGAATGTGGCCAATCAAAATCAACTTAGCCATCTAATTTTTAAAAAGTAACATTACTAC